ATTCCTGGGAAAATGCCAGTCAAAGGGGGAAGGGCATGCTTAAAGGGCAGTGCCACCTTCCTCCTGAGAGTTTGTTTTTGTCCTCCCAAACAATAGCCAGGGGGCCGAGTCCACTCCTGGCAATGCCCAGACACCTGGGCCATCACTTCAGGGCGAAGGGCCCAAGGATGTGGTGCCAGGGCCCTTCAATGCAGCATCTGGAGATGTTCAGGAGACCATGTGGTGCCAGGGATTGAACCCAGCTCAGACATGGGTTATGCATGTGCCCAAACCATTGTACTATATCTCTCCACTCCTGAGAGATGTTTTTTTTCCTTCTGTTTTGGGTCACACCCAGCTATGCTTCAGGGCTCAAACCTGGTGGTGCTCAGGCACCCTTATGGGGTGACGGGAGTCAAAATCAGGACAGCTCTGTGAAAGGCAAACTCCCTGCCCACTGTACCACCCTGCCCTAAGGGTTGATTTCAGGAAGGAGCAGAGACTCGGACCGCCGTGGCACCTGTGTACGGGGGCGTGTGCACTAATGCATGCATGTGGTGGAACGGAACAGCCTTGCAGGAAGCCAGAGCAGGCCCACAGCCCTCCCCGGAGGCAGGCTTGGAGGGACAGTCCCTCCCAGGTCACCTGGTCTGGAACCCCCAAGGCAGCCTGCCTCTTCTAGAAGCTCCCCCACTCATTCCCGGTTGGAATGAACTGCTCGATCCTCTGCAATCTGCAATCCTGGTGGAGTTTTGGACAAAGCCTCCCCCAGACCAACTGCAGTTCTGCTCCTTTGGGAGGACCTGGAGTGTGTGTGTGTGTGTGTGTGTGTGTGTGTGTGTGTGTGTGTGTGTGTGTGTGTTTGGCGCCTGTTCCAGGTGAGAGGCACTACTTTCTCTGTCCCCTCTGCACAGCCTCCGTGAGGTCCCCCCAGTGGAGTGGACAGCACTGGAGACCCTACTGGCCAGTCTCAGTCTCGGTCACAGTCCTTCATCCCTCTCCCTGCCCCTCTCCCTTCCTCAAACCCTTCAAAAGCAAACCCTTAAAAATGTAAATGCGGGGGGGCTGGAGCAATAGCACAGCGGGTAGGGCGTTTGCCTTGCACGCAGCCAACATGGCCAACACAGGTTTGATTCCCAGCACCCCATATGGTCCCCTGAGCACCGCCAGGAGCAATTCCTGAGTGCATGAGCCAGGAGTAACCCCTGAGCATCGCCGGGGCTGACCCAAAAAAAAATGTAAATGCGGGGCTGGAGAGATAGCACAGTGGGTAGGGCGTTTGCTTTGCACACAGCCGACCCGGGTTCGATTCCCAGCATCCCATATGGTCCCCTGAGCACCACCAGGGGTAATTCCTGAGTGTAGAGCCAGGAGCAACCCCTGTGCATCGCCAGGTGTGACCCAAAAAGCAAAATAAATAAATAAAAAATAAAAATAAAAATGTAAATGCACTTGGGGAGCATCTGGGGACCCTGCTCTGAGGCCACAGATCCAAAAAGCCCTCACTGGGGCTACAGGGCCCGTCCAGCCCTGCCCTGCCCGTCACTCGGAGCCTCTCCTTCCTGGAACCCGCCAAGCCTTCGGGCTTATCGTCCTTATAGGAGTTTTGCCCTTGGAACTGTGCCCTGCGCCCCCACACCCGCCTGACCTCTGGGGGCTCTCCGCCACCCCGGGGGGGACGGAGCCCCCAGCAGGCTGCAGTTTCACACAGAGTCCCAGTTCCCTCCTAGCAGGTGGCCTGCTGAGGGAGGGGTCTCTCCTGCTCTCAGCTGCGCCCCCCCAGGCTGCATTCCTGCAAGCTGGACTGTGTTGAGACACCCCTGGCGTCGTTTGGGGCGGGGGGGGGCAGATTTTTGCGAGTGCTCAGGACCTGCCTAGTGAAGGCTGGGAAATCAGAATTTAGTTGGCACCAGCCCTGTGTCCCAACTTGGCCTGACCCTCCACAGCTGCTAGCCTGTCCCTTCATCTGTGAAACGGGGCTCCTGACACATCTCTCCTGCTGGGGGTATGGCTAACTGTTGTGCTTGGGCTTGGGGCATAACTCTTATGCTGTGCTTGGGGCTTACTCTGGGCTCTGTGTTCAGGTGTCAATCCCAGAGGTGCCCTGGGGACCACGCAGTGCTGGGATTCAAATCTCTGTTCTACGGGCCAACACGAGAACATTTTTGGAGGGACCACCCCTGGTGATGCTCAGGGAGTTCTGCGCTCAGGAATCACTCCTGGAGGTGCTCGGGGGACCCTCTGGGGTGCCAGGGATCGAACCTGGGTCAGCCTCATGACAGGGAAGTGCCCTCCCCGCTGTGCTATTGCTCTAGCCCCGTGCACTCGCCGCTTCCCTTCCTAAGGGACACTTCTCTCATAAAATTAGAACTCGCCTTCTTTTTTTTTAAATTTTATTTGCTTTTGCTTTTTGGGTCACACCTGGCGATGCTCAGGGGTTACTCCTGGCTCTGCACTCAGGAGTTACTCCTGGCGGTGCTCAGGGAACCATGTGGGATGCTGGGAATCAAACCCGGGTCGGCCGCGTGCAAGGCAAACACTCTACCCACTGTAATGTCTCTCCAGCCCCCAGAACTCGCCTTTTTTTGCCTGCCTCCAGCACTCGCATGCCAGACAAGCGCCCTACCCACTGTGCCATCTCTCCGCCCTCCCCCATCGGGGCCATCTTTAAAGCACTTCGTAGCTGGCCCTAAGGCTCCCGTGGGGACCACTGGACTCTGCAGGGGGCCGCAACCTAGAGTGGAGCTAGCTGGCTGCATTCTTTTCTGCCTGCGACCCGAGTTCTAATTTTTTGTTTGTTTTTGGGTCACACCCGGCGATGCTCAGGGATCACTCCTGGCGGTGTCCAGGGAACCATATTGGGTGCTGGGGAATGAACTGGGTCGTCTGCATGCAAGGCAACTGCCCTCCCCCTGTACTAACTCTCCAGCCCCCCACTTCCAGTCCGATGTGCCAGGAGCCAGAGGGATGGGGCATCTGTAAGAAACTCCAGGCTAAGGGCTGCTGCTCCCACGGGGCGCCCCCCACCCACAAGGCTCAGATCCATTTCTGATGCCGAACCAGGTGATTATGATCATTCCAGGGGGCTCCCGAGGGAGAGGGGACTGTGGGGCAAGGAGTCGCTGTGGGTGCCGCCCTGGCTGAGCCCAACGGGCTGCGGCGAGACTTCCGGTTCTGCCAGGAAGCCCAACCTGCTGGCCATCCCGGGCGATCCCCACCAGGCACGGACCCCCACTGTCCCGGGAGAGACAATGACCCGCTTCCACTCCCAGTTAAGCCTGAGTCCGGACCCCAGGTGGGGGGTGTGGTTTCTGGAGATCTCAGCCTGCTGGGGGGGTCGCACCCCTCCTCCCTTACCCTTCTGCCTTGCCTTTTAAGGGGGTGACCCTCTGACCTCCATCTACTCCCCCCTCACCCTCCAGCCGGAGCTTAAGAGTTGGAGAGGCTTCAGGCCGGGATGCACAAGTGTGGCTGCGGTCAGCCCTTCCAGATCCTGGGGTCCCGCGGGTGCCCTGGGGGGACGCTGGCCGAGGCCGGGCGCCCGAGCGGAGCCCAGGGGAGCCCAGGGCTGAGAGGCGGGTGCTGGTCTGGGGGGGAGGCGGGGTGGCGGGCACAGGGCTCGGGCCCAGGGCAGGGGGGCAGGCAGCGGGAGTGTGGGATCGGGGTGCGGGGCTGGAGGGCGCGGGTCCGGCCGGCCGGCCGGTGCAGGGGGGCGCCCCCGGGGAGGGGCACGCTATGTCTTTAAGAGCTGCCTGAGCCAGGTCGCAGCTGCCTGGCCAGCCCGGGAGACAGCGGAGATTCATTACCCGCCGCCGACACAATGACCATTGATGGCCCCGTGGCGTTATTCAAATCCAGTACCAATTGCAGCCGAGCCCCTTTCTCCGCGCCAGGCCCGTATTGTTGGAGCGGCCCCCTAAAAGCCCGCCCCGGCCCCGAGCCGCCAGAGGCGCCCGCTCGGGTCCAGCCCTGCGCCTCGCCAGCCGCCGGCTCCCGGGCCGGCTCCCCGGGCGCTGCAGGTGACCGGGCGACGCATTCCTGCGCTCCCGCCGCGCCGGCCGCCCGGGCCCGCGGACCCGGACGCGGAGGGCGCCCGAGCCGGTGCGTGCGCGGGGCTGGCGCGGCGGGACCCGGCCCCGGGAGCCCGGCGGGGCCGGGGGCGGGGGGCGGCGGCGGCGGCCGCCGGGGCTCCCCGGGCCTGCGGCGGCGCCGACGACACCCGCGGGCCACGGGCCACCTTACCGCGAGCGTGGACGGGCCGCGACCGCCGGGGCGTCCGGACGGCGGTGAGACTCTGCTCCCGAGATGCTCCGTGTGCCGGTGCTCGCGGGGCGCGCGGGCGCGACCCCACGGGAGCCGCGGGCTCTCCACTCGGGGGCTTCGCCACTGATTGTCCAAACGCAATTCTTGTACGAGTCTGCGGCCAACCGAGAATTGTGGCTGGACATCTGTGGCTGAGTCCCGGCCGCGGCGGGGGGCGCGGGCCGCGGGGAGCGCGCGCGGCTGGGCGAGCGAGGGGGTCGCGGCGGCCGGCGCCGCTGTCCTCACCCCTCGTCGCCCTCCTCCTCCACCTCCTCCTCCGCTGACCGGTCCGCGCTGGCAGGGGCCTCCGGCCGATGGCGCCGTCTTCCCCCTTTTTCAAATTTCGACCGGGAACACGGGAACGGAGCCGGCACGCAGCGGCGGGGCCGGCGGTGGCGCGGAGTCCGCTGCCCCCGGCCGCGGGGAAGGCGCGGGACGCAAGAAGATGCTGGCGGAACGCGCCCGCGGACTCGCGCGGAGCTGAACTGCTTCGAGCCTTCCTCCTCCCGCCGACGAGCCGAAACCCACCCCCGAATCCCAAATAAACCGACCCTTCCCCGCAGCCCTTCCGGACCCAGCCTCGCCCGCGCCCGCGCCGCGCTGCCGGGAGCGGCGCCGCCGCTGGCTGGGGAGAGAGAACTTGGCCAAACGAATCCTTTTCATTAAAGACACACCTTCGGAGATGCTGGGGCTTATTTATTCGTTTATTTCTTCAAAAGCGGGGCGGGCGGTGAGGCGCTGCCTGCGGGTGCAGCCGGGCATTTCTGGGTGAGCCCCATCTCTGTCCCTGGCCCCCCACCCCCTCCGGCAGCTCGGGGATTGACACGGAGCTGAAATGCCGTGGACCGGCCGGGTCAGGCCATTTCAGCGCCCGGCACCAAGGGGAATCTGCTCTCCGGCCTGGTGTCCCCCAACCCCGGCCCCCAGCGCAGGAGCAGGTGCCTGGGACCGGGTTGGGACAAGAAGCCACTTGGGCGCTCGCGGGTGGGATGGAGACCCCTGCCAGGGAGGCTGAAGGGGAGGCTGTGCCCCAGGGTGGACACCCCGACCTCAACACCAGGGGCAGGTCACCGGCAGTGCCTGGACAGCGCCCGGCACCAAGTGGCCCCAGTCCCGCAGCAGGGCCAGCTGGCCGGGGACCTGTCCTCTAAGCCTGGAGGTGTCCACACCCTGGGCCCCCAACACTGCTGGGCCCAGCGGCCTCGGGGCTGCGAGAAACCTTCCTCGAATCGAGAGATGGAGTGAAAGCAACGCTTTTGTGCCAGCTGACGAACTCTCCCCATTTTTATTACGATGGCTGTTTCGAGGTGTCTGGGCGAATGAAGCCTTCCCCCCCAATACAGGAGAAGCTAAGGGGGCTAAGGGGGCGTTCGGCAGTCTTATCTCTGAGCCCCCTCCCCGCCCATCCCATTCTGGACTCTGAGGCTGCTGGGACAAACAAAGCCCGGGCGGGTGGGGGTGGGGCGGGGTCCTGGGGCCCAGACAGGTAGGTGAGCCCTGGCAGTCACCCGCTCCCACTGGGGCCGGGTCTCAGCGTGGATCCTTGCTGGGGTAAAGGGCAGCCCCGGAAGGCCGGAGACCCACAGGCAAGGGGCAGGACGGTGGGTGGGTGTGGGGAGGAGACCAAGGCAGCCTGTCGCTTAGACACTGAGGCCTCCCAGAGCCACTTGTCCTCGCTGCCCGCGACGCGGCGTCTGCATCTATCCCATCAGCCACGTTCCTGATGGTCTATGGACCTAAGCACTGGGGAGGAAACTGAGGCACGCTGCCCTCCAGGCGCCTCTCCAGAGCCCCGGGCAGCCTCGGGCAGGAGGAGGGTCGCAGGACCCCATCTGGTGGCCTGGGGGTGGGGGTGGGGGTGGCCGGCCAGGGTCAAGGGCTGAGGAGCAGGAGGAGAGGTGTGGCTGCCACAGCAGCTGCCGGGTGCGGGGGAGGGGGCCAGCTCTGGAGAGGGGACCCCAGCTGGGGTTCCGTAATGACTCCAGTGGGGGACAGCCAGAGCCCTCTGCCGGCCAGATGGGGAAACTGAGGTGCTGGCACCTTCAGTCTGGGGGACGGGGAGGGGGGCCCACCACAGCTCCCAGGGTCCGTTCACCTCCCCTGGAGGCACGCACAGGGAGAGGGAGATGCCGACAGGCACTGGGTGCGTCCAGGGGCGAGCGGGGTCCCCTGCCGCACCCCACCTCCCCCCTGCTCACACGCTGGGGAAAGGCTCATTTTTAGCACCTGGCCTCTTTTCCCTGCCCGGAGGGAGCTCCAGGGACAGGGCGGTGAGAAAGCAGGAGGGGACAGCGAGGGGAGGCAGGCTCGGGTGCCATCCGCCTGAGGCGTGGTGGGCAGGGATCTAGCCTCCGTGCAGCGTGGAGATGAAGAGGACGCAGTCCCGGTCCTGCAGCTGGTAGTCCAGCTCGCCCTGCCCGGAGAGAGACACTCAGGGGCGCTGGGGGGAGATACACGCCGGACACAGCCTCCTGGATGAAGGAGACCACCGAGACCGCCCCTCCTCCCCTCCCCATTCCTCTCCCTGGGGGGCGTGGAGGTGGGGGGGGGGCAGGAGTGCACCAGCACCAGCAAACGGGAGGGGTGGGGCAGGGTGGGGGTGCCCCGGCACTAACCAGCAGCTCCCAGTCGGCGTCATTGATCAGCACCAGAATCCCGGGCCGCCTGTGTGGGGAGATGGCAGGGGTGAAGCGGGCTGCAGGGTGTGTGGTCTAGGTTTGGGGGTGCAAACTGCAGACACCCCCCCAGGCTGGGATGGGGGCACCAGGGTTCCTGGGTGGTCACCCCACCAGCGAGCCCTGCCTGGCCCAGACGGGTTGGGGGCACATCCTGTGGCAGGGACCCCGGGACAGACGCATCGTCAGCAGGCAGGGCTCCAGGAGGTGGCCAGCTACAGGACAGACGCTTAGAGCTGGGGGTTCCCGAGCATCGAGGTCTACACCCCTCTCTGCCCCCCCAGGAGTCCTAGGCCTGCATGCTGCAAAGGGGCGGCCACCAGCGCATGGACACTGACGGAAAAAGGAACAGTTTGTCCTTCAGTCATACTGGTCACAGATCAAGGGTTCAGCAGCCTCATGAACCTAGCAGTTACCGATGAACATTTCCAAAATCTTCCAGAAAGTTCTATGGGAGAGCAAAATCAACTTCTAACTCTTAGACTCAGAGGGACGCTAGGGGACAGCATCCTTTCTCAGCATTTTTATTTTGTTTTGTATTTGTGGGGTCCCACCCCGCTCTGTGCTCAGGGATCAATCCCGGCAGGACTTGGGGGGCCATATGTGGCACCAGGAATTGAACCTGGGTTGGCCATATGCATCTTCCCTGCTATACTATTTTTCTGGTTATTGAAAAAAAAAAACCACTTTTTTTTGGCGGGGGATTGCATGCCTGCCCATATGCAGGGCTGACTCCTGATGGGGCTCAGGGTACCATATGTGGTGCAGGGAAAAGAAGTCGGTTGGCCAGGTTGTAGGACAAGCACCCTGGCCATTGTACTATCTCTCTGGCCCCCCCTTATAAAAATTTCTTTAGGTTTTTGTTTTGTGGGGTTTTGGGTGGGGCCACACCCAATGATGCTCATGGGTTACTCCTGGCTCTGCACTCGGGAATTACTCCCGGTAGTGCTCAGGGAGCCATGCCATATGGGAGGCCAGGGATCGAACCCCAGTCAGCTGTGTGCAAGGCAAGCACCCTCCCCGTTGTGCTATTGCTCCGGCCCCTAGATCTTTTGTGGAGAGGGTTGGGGGATATGGGGCCACCACCCGGCAGTGCTGAAGGGGCCAGGAATCAAACCGGGGCGGCAGTTAAGGGGCTGCCTGCGAGGCGAGTGCCTTCCCTCCCGACGGGGTGGCGGCGTGGGAACAGAGATGCTGTGAGGTCATGATCCAGCTGGTCAGTGGCACCAGGACGTGGCATCTAGTCTCCAATCAACTAGACTAAACCCCTCCCACACCCAACCCGGGGGCCGGACAGGTAGCACGGTAGGAAGGAGCCGCGCTGCACTGGATCCAGCTCTGCAGCCCAAATGGTCCCCCAGCGCCAGAAAGAGCAGCAGCTGTGCATCAGTGGGTGTGTCCAGCCCCCCAGTCTCCTATCCAGGGTTGGGGAGATGACTCAGGGGAGCTGAGCACAGGCTCTGCCTGCAAGACACCTGGGTTGGTATGGGCCCAGCACCATGGAGCACAGGGCCAGGAGCAGTCCCTGAGCACTTACTGGGGGGCACCCCCCAATCAAGTCCGGTGTGGAGCTCAGAGAATGGAAAGCTAGCCACCCAAGCACAGGGCTGGATGGAGAGGGAAGTGGCAGGCGGTGAACAGGGTGAGCCAGGGGTGGGAGGGGGACACTCACACGCTGTCTCCCTGGATGAACAGCTCCGGCCGCTCCTTCAGCAGATTCTTCTTGATCCAGACGAGGAGGTTCCGGACATCCCCTGAGCGGGAGGCAGAGAGAGGCGGGGTCAGGCCCAGGCTGCCAGCACTCCCTGGAGGTGGGGGGCGCGGGGCGCACAGGGTCTCTGGTCTGATTTTACTCGGGGTGAAGGGTCACTTCCGGTAGTGCCTGGGGGTCGCTCCTGTTGGAGAGCCGGGGCCTCACCCCAGGGTCCCACACACATCCCCCTGGCCGCAGAGGGGTCCCGAGCTCAGGGACGCTCAGGTGGGCCAATGGGTCAGGAGTGTCCTGCAGAGAAGGTACCCGGTTGCCGGGCAAAGCGCGGCCCAGCGACACTGTCCTTTAGAACAGCCAATGACAAGGCCAAGAAGGTGGCCCGAGGCTGTCATGGACGTGGGCTCCTGCGGACAGCCACCCTGCTCTGTAGCAGGTCTGAAGGGAGGGGGGCGTCTGCACAGACCCCCCCACACCCTTTGTGAGGGAAGGAAACAATTGCTCCACCGATAGCATCAGTTAATTTCCTCTGCTGAAGGGAGCCAGCTCCAGCGTCAGCGGGAGACGCTGACAAATCACCCAGCCGCCCGGGGGTGACCCCCCTGAAAGAGGGGAGACTCAGGGGCTCCCCCAGCTCTGCCGCAGAAATGAGCATTCGCGGGTGCTGGCCCAGCCACCGGGCCCTCGCGTGAGTGGTCAGTCCTCATGTGGAGGAGAGCAGAGTGCCCAGGCCCTGCCACCGGCCCTGGCCCCAGGGACAGGCCTATGGCCGCAGAGCGAATGTGTCCGTTGGCTTGGGGCCCTGGCCCTGGCTCATGGCCCAGCAAGCCCAAGGCCGAGCGCTCAGCGTGCTGGACTGAGGCTGGTGTTTGGCCGCGCCTGGCCGTGCGAGGGCAGCTCCCGGGGGGCCTGGGGAACACGGGGTGCTGGGAACCGAGCCTGGAGCCCCAGTCCTTCGAGCCAGCTCCCTGACCCTCCAGCCAGACATTTTTGGTTTGTTTTTTGGGCCACACCCAGCAATGCTGGCGGGGGAGAGGGAGCCCAGATGGTGCCTGGGACCGAACCTGGGCCTGGCCGCGTGCAAGGCAGGTGCCCACCCACCAGCCGGGATTCTGACTTGGAAACAAAGCTGCTGGGAGCTGCGCTCTCCCCGAGAGTGGGCAGGGACTGGGGACCTCGCTCTGAGGGCCCGCTCCTCCTGTACCACCATCCAGGTCGCTCACCCCCACCCCGGCCTCCACCTTGGGCCCGTCTCCAGCTGCCCGTGGACTGCCGGCGTCGCGGCCTGGGCAGGAGGGGGCTGTGCCCGCAGGAGTGGCTCCGGCCGAGGGCCACCCCGGCTGGCCTGCGTGGAACCGGGGCCCAGCTGGGCGGTAGCCCGGACGCCCTTCTCGGGGCGGGGCGGAGCGGCCTGCTCCCCTCCGTGGTCACGCCAGGGTCATTCGAGCGCTGGCCTCGTCACGGAGTCAGTCCCGAGGGGGTGGGTCGCGGGGCCGCTCATTTATCATGACGCTCGTGTGGCTGAGGTCACTCCCTCTCCCCGCCGCACCCCCCAGGCCGGCCCGCATTCTTGATGGCCCGTTACCATGGTGAGACCACCGCATCAGCACCCGTATTGTTCCCCCATGCCTGGATTTGGGGGCGGGGGGAGGTGGGACTTGCGTCTCTCTTCGCAGGCGGCAAGGGCCACTCGGGCCTGGCCTGCGACACCCCCCCAGGGACAAGGCTGGGCCCAGACAATATGCAAATGGCCGCCAAGCCAGATGGTCGGCTCCTTCGGAGCCTGGGAGGGGGGGTAGGGCTGAGCAGAGTCAGGGGCTGGTGGCTGAGGGGGGTGGGTGCTGGGAGCCAGGAGGCTGGGACACTCGCACTGTCTCCCTCACCCCCACCTGCCCGGTCCCAGGTCATCTCCCCAATGCAGTGCCGGACCCTCACCCACAAGATAAACGTTTATTGAGCAACTACTGCGGTGCCTGGGGCCAGAACGTGGTGGTGAGTGCTGTGGCGCTCACATCCCCAGAGCCCAGGGACAGAGGCTCCTGCCTGGTGGTGGGGCCAGGGAAAGCTGGCCTGAGGCTCACAGGAAGCTGGGCCCAGAGCTGCGGAGAGAAGACAGGGGTACACACTTGCCTGGCATGTGGCTGGCCCAGGTTTGATCCTCAGTGCTGCATTTGGTCCCTTAAGTCCCACCAGCAGTGATCCCTGAGCACAGAGCCAGGAGTAAGCCCTGAGCAAGGCCAGATATGCACCCCCACCCCCGCAAAAACAAACAAACAAAAAAACCCCTAAAACCCAACAAATAAAACCAGGCGGAACAATAGTACAGCGGGTAAGGCACTTGCCTTGCACCTGGCCAACTCGAGTCTAAGCCCAGGACCACCAGCGGTGGTGATCCCTGAGCACAGCTGGAGGTGGTCCCAAAATACAAACAAACAATAAAGAAAACTCCCGCAAAGGAAGAGGAGGGTGGGAGGGCGCTCAGGGGGGCTTTGGGAGGAGGCTGTGGGGGGGGCCTGGGCCGGAGCAGAGGCGGTCAGGGTGGAAGGGGCCTCTGTCTCTCCGGGGACCCCTGGGCCTGCACCCAGAATGTGCTCTGTGGGCCATGATGGCTGTGAGGTACCATCTCTCTGCCTCAACGTGTCCAGCATGGAGGGACAGCATGGCCACACCTGGGGGTCAAATGGCCACTGAGCTTTGCACTGATGACAGCACACAGCCTGGACTCCAGACACTGACCCTGACCCCCGACTACAGGGGGGCCGGGACCCCAGACCCTGACCCTCACCCGACTGCGGAAGTGGGGGGAGGTGGGAACAGGACAGTCTGGCTCAGGTGCCATCACTTCCAGAAACAGGCGCTGTGGGAGGCTCCGGCCATAGCACCCACAGAAGCTCCTGGCCCTTGGCCTGCCCGGCTGACCAGGCCTTGTGATCACCCAGGACAAACACTATGTTTGGTTTTCCTGTGGCCCAGTCACCTCGCACTCTGCACATGCGCAAAGATGCATGCACTCACGTACACATGCACAGACGTGAGCGTGCACACACAGAGGGTGAGCAGTCGCCCCCAGCACACGGGATGAGCATGGGCGTTTTCTAGAAGATTCCCCCCTTCCATGGGAGGTTGGAGCGGGCAGAGGGTCCCAGACATTCCCACCTGGGGGGCTCTGGGGACACGCCTGGGTGGAAGGACTGTCCATGGGGCTATGGGTCAGACAGGCCCCACCAGGCAGGCACCACGCTGACACACACACAGCCACAGTCAGAGACACACAGAACACAGACAAAAACAGTCACAGAGACACACACACAGACACAGGCACAGACACAGGCAGAGACACACACAAACACACACAGACACAACCACAGACACACACAGTCACAGCCATAGATACACAGACACAGCCACAGACACACACAGATAAACACAGACACAGACAGATACAGACACGGGCACACACATAGTTACAGAGACACACCCAGCCACAGATACACCCAAACACAGACACACACAGACATAATCACACAGTCACAGAGACACAGTCATACAGACAGTCACACAGACAGTCACATAGACACACAAAGTCACATAGACACAGTCACAGAGACACAGACACATAGTCACAGAGACATACAGACACAGGCACACTGACAGTCACATAGACACACAAAGTCACATAGACACAGTCACAGAGACACAGACACATAGTCACAGAGACATACAGACACAGGCACACTGACACACAGATGCGGTGGGGGTGAGTTCCAGTTCCAGATCTGAGCCGGAAGGTGGCCTAAGTCCTCCTCTGACTTGGGGACAATCACCACCACCCCAGGGGCCTGCAGCCACAGCACCTCTGTCCCCCAGCACCCCCTCCCAGGCCACGACCTCCGGGAGCCCCCAGTCCCCCAGCAGGTGTCTTCCCCACCGCCCCACCCTGTCCTCGGCCCAGCCAGGGGTGACAGAGGAGACTCCTCTTCCCCACCGGCCCTGAGGATTTCAGGGTGCCATGAAGCCCACCCGGTCGGCCGGCTGACCCGGGAGAAGAAAGCCCGGGCCAAGCGCCGGCCAGGCAGGGAACATCAGAGGAGCCATTTACAAGTGAATGGGGGTTAGAAAGGAGCAGTTTGTGGGCTAAACTGGCCTCAGAAGGAGGTTTACAGATGTGTGAGGGACGCTCCTCATTGTTTAATTAAGCAGAAAGTGGGTCTTTTCAAAAGCAATTTTGCACAGGGCCTGGAGGGGGAGGGGCTGGGCAAACAGGCCCGGAGCAGAGAAAGGCACAGCTGGCCCCGGGCGGGCCCTGCATGCTAAGCAGTTTAAAGCACCGCAGGCTGCAGCCACAGCCTCGGCCGCTGGGCCGCCGGGCCAGGCAGGCAGGGCCCAGGGAGCGGGTCCCAGTTCAGGCAGGGGCAGGGGCGGGCACCAGCCCGGCTGCGGGGCGAGCCTCAGGCTGATCAGAGTGGGCATGGGCGGGTCCCAGCGACAAGGCAGGAAGAGCCACTGGGCCACCCTTGGCCGCCAGGTTGGGAAGGCGCTTATGCCCAGGGGAGCAGCAGCTGGGGCAGCGCCCCGGGGTCAGAGGTCATGCCCCAACTCTGCCCATCCTCTTTGCCCCACTTGGCTTGGCTGGAAGCTCGCCTGGCCCTGGGGTCCCCCCTTGCTGCGGCCAATCCCCCCCCCATAATCTCAGGGCCGCATGTCTCCTCGACCCACCTGGGAAGCGGCTGGACTGCAGGTGACGGGCCGGGCCTCGGCCTCGTGCAAACAGGAGCGGGCGACAGAGCCCGGCGCCAGCCCACGGAGAGGGGAGGAGACGCCCCACCCGAGGGGGCCAGGCTGAGGACCACAAACCTGGGTGTAGGGGGCTCAGGGGCAGAGAAGCCTGCTCCTTGAAGAAATGAAGTCCTGCTTAGACCCCTGGCCCCACCCACATGTGCGCAAGTGCACATATGTGCTTGCTAGAGCGCACGCGCTCTCTCTCACATGCACACACACACTCTCTAACACACACTCAGTACACCCTCACACACTCTCTCACACGTTCACATACACACACCCTCTCACCTACACACACTCACACTCATATATACCCTCACACGACCCTCTCACACACACTCTTTCACAAACACACACACGCTTTCTCGCACACACTGTCTCTGTCTGGAACGGCTGTTTCTGTTTATTTCTGCCTGTGAGGGTGGATTTAATTGGTAACAGGAAACCTCCACTAAAGGTCTTTATTTTATTATTATTATTATTTTTGCTTTTTGGGCCACACCCGGTGATGCACAGGGGTTACTCCTGGCTCATGCACTCAGGAATTACTCCTGGCGGTGCTCGGGGGACTATATGCGATGCTGGGAATCGTGCAAGGCCAACGCCCTCCCTGCTGTGCTATCGCTCCAGCCCCAAGGGTCTTGATAAAAGTCACAATTAAGTTGGTTTGCGTGATCGTGTGAGGGGGCACACCCAGTGGGGCTACGGGGACCATGTGGGGACCAGAAATCACACTGCCTGTCTCACCCGGGGCCCACCCCAGTTCAACTCCTGTCTGGAACCCTGAGCAAGGTGGGGGGGTCCAACCAGTCAACCAACAAGCAATCCAACCAGGGACTCAGCATTCCAAGCGGGAGCTCCGGGCCTTTGGCTATCGCCAACCGCCCTAGAGGGTCTGTTGGCGGGGCTGGGGTGGGCAGCAGTGAAGGTTCGAGAGAAGTGCAATGAGCTGAACAGGACACTGGGGAGAAGGGGAGATGGAGCAGAGAGAGAAGGGGGTCACCGGTGCAGGCTGAAGGGACAGGGGGCACGGCGCGGGCTGCAGGGACTCTCACTCCAGTCCTACTTCCCGGCCTCGGTCAGGGACGCGCGGCCTCTGCGTTGTCAACCAGAGCACGGCCTGTGCTTAAGGTGTGACCCGGCCCTGAGCTGGCCCTGAGCAGGAGGAGCTGGGGAGGCTGACGTGTCCCTCGGAGCAGCTCTGGGTGGGTGGCACTGCGCCTCCGGCCCCCGGAAAAGGACAGCAGAGAGGCAAGGCCCCTGGGGTCTCGGGCTCCAACGCCATGGCCTAAGCCGGGAGCGGGGTCCCTGGGGCCACGGGCTGCCTTCTCCCACCCACAGAGCTCGAGGGGTGAGCGCTGTCCCTTGCCTGCTCGGGGCCCCGGGGGCTCCATACTCACAAGGCCCCTCCTCGCTGGGCAGAGTGACCTGATGCTTCTTGACGCCATCGAACAGGAGCTCCGCGCCGCCACTGTAGGGAGACGGGAAGACAGTGAGCGAGGCCCAAGTGGCAGGCAGGAGAGGGCAGGGGTGCCCAGGAGCCCACCCTCTAGTGATGTCCCGACATGGTGAGTGGGGGCGAGGCCAGCGATGACCCGGGACGCCAATGTCCCCTCGTGTCAAGTCGTGTTTGCGGCTCTGCTTCCTGGGGAGGCCCTGCACAGTGGGGTGCAAGCCCAGGCCATGTGGGGCTGCACTGACCCCGCCTCCCCCGGGTCTCTACCTGCGAGAGGGCTGAGAAATCGCCCCTGGGGTGCCCCTTGCTCCTCCGTCCTGGCTAGTGGAGGCAGCGGCCTGCCCACTGTGGGCCTGCTGGGCACAGGGCACCAGTGGGAGGCTGCAGGTGCCTGGGCTTAGTCAGGGGGTGGCCCCCGGAACTCATCTCAGCCTCGGGGCAGTCCCAGGGGCAAGGGGGCTTGGTCCAGGCCATAGGCAATAACTGAACTGAGATTCAAATCCTTTCATTTTGGGGGCTGGAGAGATAGCACGGCTGGGAGGTCATTTGCCTTACACGCGGCGGACCGGGGTTCAATTCCCAGCATCCCATATGGTCCCCCAAGCACCGCCAGGAGTAACTCCTGAGTGCAGAGCCAGGAGCAGGCCCTATGCATTGCTGGGTGTGGCTCAAAAAGCAAAAAAACAAAACCGAAATCCTTTCATTTTGTTTTGAGGCCCCTCCTGGCCAATCCTGGGGCTCAGGGTGTGTGTGGCGCAGGCTGGGTCGGCACCGTGGAAGGCCAGTGCCTGTCGTACTGTCTCTCTGGCCCCAGGATCAAAACCCTAAGGGGCCTTTTCCCTGGGCAGGGAAAGCCCATCCGGGAGCCTCCTGAAGGCAGCCTCGGCTCAGGCTGGGTGGCGGGACACGGTGGGGGGTTGGCGGGATGCGTGGGGTCAGACCGGCGGCCTTGCGAGTCCCTCTCAGCAGCCGTGGGGACCAAGAAAGGCCCCAGGGCCATGGCGGGTGGCGCCCCCCTGCCCCGTCACCCGTCCCCACGGCAGGAACAGAGGTGCCCTGAGCTGGCGCGGGGAGGCTGGGGCAAGGCAAGGCCTGTCACGCGGGAGACATGGGGCGACTGTCGCCCAAACAAGGTCACGCTTTGTTGATGCACAAACGTGGTGGGGAGAGGGACCCATCTGGGGCCGCAAGGGGCCGCTTCAGCTGCAAGCCCGCACAGAAGCTCCATTTATCCCCTTCCAAGAGCCCCGCTCTGCCCGGGCAGGGGCTGGCACCCGCAGCAGCTGGGCTGGGGGAGGGCCCCGGGCGAGGGGCTCAGGAGTTGGGGGTCAGAAGGCCCCGGTTCCTGGGCAAACAAGTAAGAGCACCCGGACCCGGTGGTGCCAGGCTCAGAGGCCTGGCTATCTCCCCGTCGCCAGGGGCCACGGCTGACCCGGCCCCACTGGGTACCGGCCCCCCAAGGCAGAGCCAGGCATTGGGTCAGCACATCTTGGGGGAGGGAGGGATCGGCTGGGCCTCTGAGGGATTCAGGGAGGCTGACTGGGGCGTGGGGGTTCTTGGGGCCTGAGGAAAGAACCCAACCGAAGAACACCTCTGGACTCCTCAGCTTCCAGCCACCCCCCTGAATCTCGGCGGGGGTACCGCTGGCCTCTGGGACTGGCAGGTAACCCCCCCCCCCCCACGCTGCCTGCCCTGTCCTGAACTTAACCTGGGCACTGGAGGACCTCGAGAAATATCTGCTGAATGAATGCAAAGGCCCAGTTCTCTAACCTCAACCATGCCCCCGCCCCAGTAAGGAAGGAGGGCGAGAATAAGAGGAAGAGGGGTGTGTATGAGCCAGAGCAAGAGTACAGCAGGTCGGACCTTTGCCTCACAGTTCAAACCTGAGTTCAAACCCTGGCATCCCATATGGTTCCCAGAACACCGCCAGGAATGATCCCTGAGTGCAGAGGCAGGAATGTGTGGCCCCAAACACCACTCCCGCAGGCCCAGACCTGAGACCAGACAGTTGGGGCCACAAGACAAGGGAAAGAAACCCAGGTCTGAGCAATCTGGGGGGACAGAGTGGGATGAGGAGCGTGGGGGGGGGGGGGGTTACATCTCTTAGGGGAAAGAGGCACAGTCCTGACCCAGCTCTTCAAGGTAACAACGGGGACAAAGAGAAGGACAGGCATGGTGGCCTGTGCGCGGCTCAGGCCGAGAGCCGCTGAGAGGGGTGGGGAAGGAGAGGACAGCCAGGGTGAACGTGTGTGGGGCTCTGGCGGGAGACTGGGGGTGTCAGGAGGAGGGGCGGTGGGTCAGAGGCAGGGGCCAGGGAGGGTCCAGCCAGGACGCTCTGTCCTTCCGTGGCCCCTGGGCAGCACCGAGGGTAGGGGAGCGCCCTCAGATGAGTGAACACCAAGTGGATCCACAGCCACAAAAGCAGGCGGGCGGCAGAGGTCCTGCAGCAGGAAGGTCCAGGGAAACCCAGGCAGAAAGAGTGTGCGTGTGTGATGGTATGTGTGTATGTGTGTGTGTGTGTGTGTGTGTGTGTGTGAGAGAGAGAGAGAGAGAGAGAGAGAGAGAGAGAGAGAGAGAGACAGGGGGCTGGGGTGGGGCCAGGAGAGCTGGGCCCTGCCAGACACCATAGTAGAGTGGGGAGGGAGAGCGGACAAGGTTCTGTTGATCCCGTCTCCCAGCCTGGCAGGTGGACACTCAGTAAAGGGCTGGTGATGGAGCTGGCCCATGAAGGAAACTGGGGGCCCCTTGAGAGAACAGGCCTGGACACTCACGGCTTTCCATTCCTATGGCCGGACTTTCCCCTTAAAGGCCAATTCACCCTCCCTCATACAGGCAGCCCAGCCTGGCGGGAGGAAAAGGCTGGAAGGATCCCACACATCTCTCAGGGTTCTTGGTTCTCTAAGGATCTAAGACCCCCCGTGTACCAGGCGTGGAACTCTCGACACAAGGGATCATCGGTTCCAGTAATTTTGTTCTGGGGACACACCTGGCAGTGCTCAGGGATCACTCCTGGCTGACTGGGGGAACCATCGAGGGTGCTGGGGATCGAACCCGGGTCCGCTGCGTGGCAGGTAACCACCCTCCTCTCTGTGCTCCCCCCCACGAACCTATCTGCCGCGCGTTCTTAGCTTCCGGTGTGCGGGCCCCAATCCCCCCGCGCTGCTCGGCTGATGCAGAAACGTGACGATCTACACTGCGCGCCTTGACGCCGCCCGCACACACGCAAGACTTGCAAGACCTGCGCGGGCCGCTCCGCAAATGCCCCCGAACGTCTCGGCTCGTCCGTTTCGCGCCCCCAACTCGGAGGCCCTAAGAAGAGACCCGCCCCCCTCGGCCACACCATCATCCCTGAGCGGCAACGGCTCTTGGAGCCCGAAGGACGACACGGGGCGATGCGTGGCGCTCAGATGCCAGCCACGCGAGCCCTGCCCGATGCGGGCTGGCCGAAGACGGCCCGGTGGCCGCCTGCAGCCCTTCCCCGACCCGGGAGAGGCGGGCGGCCAGGACGGAGCCCGCCCCGTCGGGGGCTGCGCCTCTATTCCGGAACATACGGCCGGGTCGCCAAGGGAGACCGAGACTCAGGCTCTCCCGGGCGGGCGGCGCAGCCCAGGGAAGACGTCGGCAGTCGGCGACTCGGCTGCCACAGGCCCCAGAGGCTGAGGAAGGGAGTCCCCGAGCCTCACGACTTCAGTCCGTCCCCACGACTTCCCCCAGCTCTGGGACTCACCCGAACTCCACCTCCACTGATAAGGGCGCTGCCATGTTGGGGAAGCCGGACGCACAGGAAACGCCCTTCTACTTCCGGTGCTCACGCCCACTTCCGGGCGTCGCGGCCGGAAGAGGCGGTGCCCACGGTGCCATCTTCCCTCGCTATTGGAGGACGGCCGGGAGCGGGAAGGAGAGGCTTCTGTGGGGCTGGAGCAGTAGCACAGCGAGGAGGGCGTTTACCTTGCACGCGGCCCACCTGGGTTCGACTCCCAGCATCCCATACGGTCCCCCGAGCACCGCCGGGAGTCATTCCTGAGTGCAGAGCCAGGAGCAGCCCCTGAGCATCGCCGGGTGTGACCCAAACCCACCCCCCCCCCCAAAAAAAAGAAGAGGCTTCTGTGATTTCTGAGTTGTACCTCTGCCTTTTAGGTACTCGGGGTGGCAGCGATTTCTCCGAGATCCAGCAGTCTTTTGCATCCCGGAAAGAGTCCAGGTTCATGCATGCAAGACATGTTGCTCTGTTTTTCAGCCACATTCCTGGCTTTACGGTCACGCTCCTCCTGTTGTTCATCGATTTGCTCTTGTGAGACTTAGTACTGTGTTTTGGTATATTGAATACGTCATGGGTAGCTTGCCAGGCTTTGCCGTGCGGGCGAGATACTCTCGGTAGTTTGCCGGGCTCTCTAAGAGGGGCAGAGGAGTCGAACCCAGCTCTGCCAGCTGCACGCAAGGCAAATGCCCTACCGCTGTGCTATCGCTCCAGCCCATTCGTGGCTTCTATTTTTATTTTTTAATTTTTGGGTCACACCCGGCGATGCACAGGGGTTACTCCTGGCTCTACACTCAGGAATCACTTCTGGCGGTGCTTGGGGGACCCTATGGGATGCTGGGAATCAAACCCAGGTCAGCCGCGTGCAAGGCAAACGCCCTATCTGCTGTGCTATCTCTCCAGCCCCTCCTGGCTTATCTTTATAGCTTTTTTTTTTTCTTTCTGGGGATGAACCATTCCCTGTTCAATGCTGGGGTAACTCTGGGTGGTACCTGGGGGGAAACCGTGTGGTGCTGGGGATCAAACCCGGGTCTCCTGCATGCAAATCATGCCCGCAGTGTGTTGAGGTCATTCTCCGTGCACCCAAGAACCTTTATTACCAGCACAGAACTGCTCTCCAGAATAGTCCTGAGCCCTGCTCAGTGTAGCTCAGAACCTTGCCCCGCCTCCCAAAAGAGCTAGGGGTTCAGTTGGTAGCATTGTATCCAAGTTCCACTTGTACCCCTGTGTCTTTCAGCAAGTTACCAGAAGTCTTTGGGCCTGGCCTCCTCACCTGGAAAGCAGGTCTGGTGAGAAACAAAGGTATTGGAGGCCCGGGCCTCATTCCTGAAAAGTAGGAGCTCCTGGGTTCTCCATCTCAAGGATCCTACTGGCACCCAGGGACACACCCAAGCAAGCACCTTCCCACTTCTACTCATCAGATCCAGGGTAGTCTCCCAAGCCTCTGGGGATTTGCACTCTCAAACTCTTCTGCAGGTCACCACCCCATCAACTCACCCACAGCTGCTGCCTGGCCAGTGAATGGGCCTCCTCTAGCATAAGCTTCACCGTTTAAACTCCAGGACAGGGGCTGGAGCAATAGCACAGCAGGGAGGGCGTTTGCCTTGCACGCGGACGACGTGGGTTCGATTCCCAGCATCCCATATGGTCCCCTGAGCACTGCCAGGGGTAAACTTCCTGAGTGCAGAGCCAGGAGTAACCCCTGTGCATTGCCAGGTATGACCCAAAAAGCCAAAAAAAAAAAAAAAAAACTCCAGGACAGACCCTTCCTGGATCCCAGATCCAGGGTACTGACCAAATGGCCTGCTTAATTCTGGTCTTAGCCCACCCATCAGAGTGGAGCGTCCTGGGACCTTGAGATGGGTGGCCCCCTCCACTGGGCCACAGTCACATTCTCTTGGCTCCTGCCCGCGCCCAGAACACCCTGTCTTCCCAGGGCACGGGGAGATGCTCTGGAAGGTGCATCTATAAAATGGGGTTCACTCCGCCAGCAAGCTTGTGAGGGGGTGGCCAGGCCCCCTGCCATCCATCAGATGAGCATCCATCCATCAGATGAGTATCAGACGAGCACAAGAGATTGTGGGAAATGGCAGTGGGAAGAGGCAGGAGAGAGGGAACACTTCCTCTTCTCCATATGAGGGGCCTGCAGCCCCCGCCTCTGGGCATAGGTGACACCTGGCTTGCTCTCTACTTTTTTTTTTTCTTTTTGGGTCAGAACTGGCTGATGCTCAAGGGTTCCTCTTGGCTCTGCACTCAGGAATCACTCCTGGCGGTGCTCAGGGGACCACATGGGGTGCTGGGAATCGAACCCAGGTCAAACCCATGTGCAAGGCAAACGCCTTACCAGCTGTGCTATTGCTCCAGCCCCTGTTGGGTAGATCTAACCTGCATTGCTTCACCAGGCGGTGCTCAGGGATTATTCCTGACAGAGCTTGGAAGACTATATGCAGTGCACTGGATCAAACCACGGTCAGCTCCAAGGCTGAACCCACTGTACTCTCTCAGGCTGCAAGCCTACCTCATCTCTTGGGTTTTTTTTTTTTTGGTGGGTGGGGGGTGACTGGGGGCCACACCTGGGAGTGCCCAGGGCTTACCCCTGGGTCTGTTCATGAATTCCCCCTGGTGTGCTCAGGGGATCAAGTGGTAGCACTGTAGCACTGTCCCTAGTACTATAGCACTATTCTCCCGTTGTTCATCGATTTGCTCGGAGTGGGGACCACAAACGTCTTCATTGTGAGACTTGTTACTGTTTTTTTGCATATCAAATTTGCCACAGGGAGCTTGCCAGGCTCTGCCTTGTGGGCGGGATACTCTTGTACTCTTGGTAGCTTATGGGGCACTCCGAGAGGGATGGAGGAATCGAACCTGGGTCAAACTTGGGTTGGCCATGTGCAAGGCAAATGCCCTACCGGCTGTGCTATCGCTCCAGCTATTAAGGGAGCGATTAAGTGGTTAGTATTAATTATATTAATTTTTCTTTTTGCTATTTGGGTCACACCCAGCAATGCACAGGAGTTCCTCCTGGCTCATGTACTCAGGAATTACTCCTGGCGGTACTCAGGGGACCCTATGGGATGCCGGGAATAGAACCTAGGTCGGCTGTGTGCAAGTCAAACGCCCAACCTGCTGTGCTATTGCTCCAGCCCCTATTCTTTTCTTTTTAAAATTTTTTTGGGTCACACCCGGCAATGCTCAGGGGTTCCTCCGGGCTCATGCACTCAGGAATTGCCCCTGGCGGTGCTCAGGGGACCCTATGGGATGCTGGGAATTGAACCCCGGTCGGCCGCATGCAAGGCAAATGCCCTACCCGCTGTGCTATTGCTCCAGCCCCTAATTGTATTAATATTAATTTTAATGTACTAATATCACTGTAATGTAAAAAAACAATAATATTAATCAAAGCTATTAAGTGGTTAATATCAATACACATTAAGTGGTATGAGGTTCAAACCTGCCTGCCGTGTGCCAAGCAAGCGCCCTCCCATCTCAGAGCCCCCAGCCGAGGGAACTTTGGTCCAGGGGGGTCCAGCTAACTTGAGGTAGGCCAGGTTAGTCCCCACGTGGCCCCTCCAGGGACCCTCGCGGGTCGCAACCGATTGGCTGCTCACGGCGTTGGTGGGCGGTGGTGGGTTCGACCGTCACCCACACACCTGCCTGCCTGCCTGCCTGCCTGCCTTGGGGGAGCCCCGCAAGCGAGGGGCTGGCCCCCCGCCCGGCTCCCCGCGAGCAGGCCGGCCAGCCCCTCTGCAGCTCGGCCAGGGACAAAGGCGGGGTGGGCGCGGGTGCCCCTAGCCCGCTGCCCTTTGTCTGCCCGCCGCCCCCCGCGCGCCCCGGGAGGCTGGGAGGCGCCTCTCGCAGGCTTCCTCCTCCCATTCTTGTGCTAATTGGGTGTCAAGCTGAGATCAGTGAGAAAAGAACCCGCCCGGCGCGGGTTAAACTGCCGCCAAAGCCGGGGCCGGCCGGGAATATCATTAGGCCGGAGGAGGAGGCCGGGGGCGGCGGCCGCCCCGCTTTGAAGGCCGCGGGCTCGCCCCTCCCCGGCCGCCGCCGCTCAGGGGGCCCCCGCCGAGGTATTTAACCTTCTTCCCAGCCGCTGAAAGTGATACGCCCGCCGAGCACCGGCCAGCGCGGCCACTTGCCTGTCCCCGAGGGCGCGTGGACCTCCGGGGACGCGGGCGCCGGCCCCTCCAGCCTCCTGCCGGCCCGGCAGGCCGGTCAGCCCAGAGCATCACGGGCTGCCGGTCAGCTCCAAGTGGCCTCGGCCAGAGCGTCCCAGCAGCTTCGGGAAGGAAGGAAGGTTTTGGGTTCAGGGTCCACCAAGGGGTCCCCCTTCTCTTTTCACCTCCACTCTGCCCGCCCCGCCCCCTCGGGTCTGGAACATTCTCCCCTCCAGCTCCTGGATAAGCCCCCAGGGCCCCCCCTTCAGCACCCAGTCCCTGCTTCCCAGCTGGTCTCCCTGACCCTCACCCCTGGAGGGGGGGGGGAAGTCCAGGGTCCCATCTAGCTTCCCCCAACGCCCCCCACCTGGTGGTGTTTAGTGTGTGGGCCTGGGGGGGGGGGCTGGAGCGAGCCTGTAGGGGTTCACTTGGCCCGCCCCAGGCCGGCTCAGGGTAGATCCCCCACCTCCGCCTGGTCCTGCCCACCGGACCCCCCCTCACACAATCTGTGTCCAAGCCAGGTGGAGGCTCAGATCCTGGAGCCAGTCCAGCACCTGCTGGATCCTGCCCCGCGTGGAAGCGACCTGATGAAGGGGGGCAGATGCAGAGAAGGAAACTCAAAAGTTTGGAGTCTTTTATTGGCCTCGGGGCTGGGGGAATCACGTGATCTCCAACAGCCCAGGAAGGCGCTCTCTTGGCCCTGGTTTGGGGACTTACCACTTGATATTTTTTTTCTGTTTGTTTGGCTTTTTGGGTCACACCTGGCGATGCTCAGGCGTTCCTCCTGGCTCTCCACTCAGGTGAATTACTCCTGGCGGTGCTCCAGGGACCATATGGGAAGCCAGGGATCCAGCCCGGGGTTGGCCGCTGCATGCAAGGCAAACACCCTCCCCACCCTCCTATCACTCCAGCCCCAACACCTGATTTTTTTTTTTCCTTTTTGGGTCACACCCGGCGATGCTCAGGGGTTACTCCTGGCTTTGCACTCAGGAATCACTCCTGTCGGTGCTCAGGAGACCATAGGGGATGCTGGGAATTGAACCCGGGTCGGCCGCGTGCAAGGCAAACACCCTATCTGCTGTGCTATTGCTCCAACCCTTTTTTTTTCCGGTGTGTGGGGGGGCACACCTGGTAGTGCTCAGGGCTTACTCCTGGCTCTGTGCTCAGGAGTCACTCCTGGCAGGGCTCGGGACCATATGGGGTGCCAGGGATCGAGCTGGGTTGGCTACATGCGCAGCAAGTGCCCTACCTTCTGTACTATCTCTGGGGCCCTCTCTCTTTTTTAGTGGTGACAGTCATCAAACTAAGTCTGACATGCTTGACCGCTGAACCTCCTCCCTGGCCCACCCCACTCTCTTGACCAGGGCTCAGCTGCAGGCCTGGTGATCATACCTGATCATACCCCACTCTTGCTCCATCACAGGCACTGAGGCAGGGATTTGGGCTTCTGATTACAGGCTCAGCTAGACAAAAGGGATCGGAACGCAGTGGAACTTTGGTTTTGGAGAGACACGTGGCCGTCTTAGGGACTGGTCCTGCCGGAGTCAGAACCAACTCCTGATTCAGTGCTCGGTTGACCATGTTGTGCTGGGGACCGGATCCAGGTCTTCTGTCTCTAAAACCGGTGTTCTGGGTTTGCAGTGGGTAAGGTGCTTGCTTTGCATACGGCCGACCTATTCCAAGCCCTGCGCCACCTACAGTCCAACTGGGCAGTCACGAGTGACCCCTGAAGTGGAGTCCCCCACCCCGCAAAAGGCCAAAGTTCCAGCTCACTGCGCTTGTCCCCTCTTCCCTACCAAGTGGGTGCTCTTGGTCACTGCCCTGTATCGCCTCTTGGGGAGCTGTGTCCATCCTAGAGGGACCCCTTCGCATTGGAGACCACTCACCACTAAGAGTTTAGGACACAAAGCCAAACTATGGCCAGCCTGGGTTCAATCACTGGCACCCCTATACTGTCTCCCGGGAACCACCAGGACTGGTCCCTGAGCCAGGTGTTGAGATCGTTTTTGGGTGTGGCCCAAAAAACTGAAAAGAAGGGCCACACCGGGGAGGGCATTTGCCTTGCACGCGGCCGACCCAGGTTCAATCCCCGGCATCCCAAATGGTCCCCCAAGCACCGCCAAGAGTAATTCCTGAGTGCAGAGCCAGGAGTCACCACTGAGCATCGCTGGGTGTGACCCAGAAAGAAAAAAAAAACACGAGAAGAAAAAAGCCAAACATTCCATCCCTCACAACCCCTTCGAAGCCCCTCAAAGACCCCTAGGAGGTCTGTCCTCCAGTCTGAGTGCTTGCAGGGGTGGACCCGGATCGCAGACGAAGCCTTCCTGCGCCCGTGGCCGGAATGGGATTCTTCAGGCGCCGCACGCCCTCTGCTGGCCACTCCCGGACACAGCAGCCCTGACCGTCCCCACCCCTCCCCAGCGAGGCCCCAGATTAGACGCCCCTCCCCTAGGGGGCACCCCAGCTTCCCCGTCCCCGTCCCCTCCCCCTCCACCCACACTGTCCGCGGCTGCCCAGGGTGTGGCCCACAGTTGCCCTGGCAGGCACGCGTGGAATGGAGGCGCTCCGCTCTGCACGCCTCAGTGACCTCTGCCCGGGAGCTGATTGGCGGGACGGCAAGGCAGGATAGAGGCAGGCCAGTGCCGGCCACAGGCGGCGGGGCCAGGGCCTCTGCTGGGGGAGCCCAGTGACCCTCCTGCGGTCCCAGATAAGGTCCCACACAAGGTCCTAGCCCAGCGGCCGCCCCCCCTCAAAGCTCCTCCCAGGTCCCTCCATTCAATGACAGCCCCTTGCACACAGCCACCGGCTCCTGGGGGCCCTGTGAGGTCTCTGCCGTCCCTCCAAATCCAAATCCGGGCCAGGGAAGAGGGGGAGGGCGGGGGGGGGGGGGGCAGCAGGCGCAGCACACAGGCTGGGGGTCAAGGCAGAGTTTATTGGCCCCTGAGTGCCTGCCACCCCTCCTTGTTGCCAGGCCAGGCCTGAGATGGGGGCGGCGGTGGGGACAGACCCACCGGCACGGAGGCCCGGCCCGCGGGACAGTCTGGTGGCCATGGGGGTGATGGGCTGGGGAGCGGCAGACCCGGCGGAGGGACATGGGGGTGCGGGGAGCAGCTGGGGGCGGGGTCAGGACCCTCTGTGGGCCACCGGCCCCTCCCCCCACTCTGCCAGCTTCCTGAGTCTGGGGGCTTCGGTGCTGGGCCTCCCCGCTCGGGAAGAGCCTGGTGATCCGCCGCCCCCCCTGCTCAGACCCAAGGCCTCGGCCTCTGGGGCCAGTCAGTCTCCACCTGGGGTGCACCGGGGGCCTTGCCAGGAGGGTCCCCAAGACATCACTTCGGCCACTGGCTTTCACAGAAAGCCCCCCCTGGGGGCGGGGAGAAGCGGCAGTGAGTCACTGGCAGTTGGGGGAGAGCCGGCCCTGCCTGCTTTGGTGTGGCGTGGCCGCGGGCCTCACAGCTTCTCCTCGCCGGCCTGGATGCGGGCGTAGGCCTCTTGGTCCAGCGGCACGTAGCGGCCCCTCCGGGCGTCCAAGTAGAAGAGCGGGTCTTTCACCACGGCCGGGTTGAAGGCCTCCTTCCGCAGCTCCGTCTTCTGCAGCTTGTAGGTCCCTGGGGGGCCGGGAGAAGGGGGGTCAGAGGCCGCGGGCCCTGCTGGTCCCAGGTACCCCCTGACGTCACAGCCCCAGAGGCCACCCCCTGTGTTTGCCAATGTCCAGCTCCGAAACTGGCAGCGTCCAACCATCCCACCGGCCCGTCTGAGAAAACACGTCGCTGGGTCAATATCTCAGGCCGCAGGCAGGGCTGTGCTCCAGGTAGGAAAAACTGGGATGGGCTGGGGCCAGGGTCGAGTACGTGGCAGAGGCCAGAGAGACAGGACAAGGGTGAGGCGCTGGCCTTGCATTTGGCCAACCCGGGCTTGATCCCCGGCGCCACATACGGTCGCCCTGAGCACAGAGTCAGGAGTGGCCCCTGAGCACTGGCTGAGTGTGACCCTTCACCTAAGAACACCCAGCAGAACCGACTGTACAGGACCCCAGACTCTGGGGGCTGGAGAGATAGCACAGCGGGTAGAGCGTTTGCCTTGCACACGGCCAACCTGGGTTCGATTCCCAGCATCTCATAGGGTCCCCTGAGCACCGCCAAGGGTAATTCCTGAGTGCGGAGCCAGGAGTAACCCTTGTGCATCTCCGGGTGTGACCCAAAAAAGAAAAAAAGACCCCTGGAACGCCCTGGAACCAGCCTTGCCCCAAAAGGCCCAGGCATCCTGGGAGTGCCGGGGCCCAGCATGGCCGGGGATCCGTGACAGCAGAGGGGCTGGAGAGGGAGGGCAGAAGGTGGGGTGACGCTGGGGTGGGGAGTGACTCAGTGGGCTGAACCCCGCTTTGCAGGCAGGGGACACAGACTCGAGCCCCAGAACTGCCGGGACAAACCCCAATTGCACTGAGCCGGAGCTGAGCCCTGAGCAGGGGTTGAGTGTGGTCCCAAAGCCCAGATAGACCAAAATTAGTCCAGTCTCTAACTCCGCTGCGGGTCACACTGGCCGTGCGTCACCTGCTCCACAGCCACCGGCCGGGCAGCCCCAGATGGACCCGAGCGAGGCCATGCTGGGCGCAGGAGGCGATGCTCAGGGCTCTGCACCCAGGGGTCATTCCTAGCACCCGGGGGGACCATACTGGGCTTGGGGGCTGAATCTGGGGGGCTGCGTGCAAAGCAAGTGTTCTACCCCTTGTCCTCTCTCTCCAATCCCTTGACTTTTTGTTTGATTTTGGGGCCACACCAAAACCAGTGGTCAGGGGCAATCCTGGCTCTCAGAGGACCCTTGCGGTGCTGAGGACCGGGGGGTCCCCCGCACGCAGTGCTGGCGTCTAACCCCTGTATGATTCCTCTGGCTTCCTTATAGCACTGTAGCACTGTCGTTCCGTTGTTCATCGATTTGCTCAAGCGGGCCCAGTAACGTCTCCATTGTGAGACTTGTTGTTACTGTGTTTGGGATATCGAATACATCACGGGTAGCTTGCCAGGCTCTGCCGTGCGGGCGAGATACTCTCGGTAGCTTGCCGGGCTCTCCAAGAGGGGTGGAGGAATCAAACCTGGGTTGGCCAGGATGGCTGTGTGCAAGGCAAATGCCCTACTGCTGTGGTATGGCTTCATTGAGGACTTTTTTTTTTCTTTTTTGGGTCACACCCAGCAATGCTCAGGAGTTTTACTCCTGGCTCTATACTCAGGAATTACTCCTGGCAGTGCTGGAGGACCCTATGGGATCAAACCCATAGGAATCGAACCTGGGCCGGCCACGTGCAAGACAAACGCCCTCCCCCCTGTGCTATCTCTCTGGCCCAATGAGCACTGTTTTCAATCAGCCCAGGGCAGATTTTTCAGGGGCTGCGGGGTGGGGGTGGGTGGGTGTCTCTGCAGCCAACCCGAGCCTGGCTGACTTCCGGCCCTTCCTGGGCAGGAGGAAATCAGAGCTACTGGCCAGTGCTCGAGGAGCTCTGAGTCTGGGGGCTCCCTGGGGCTGTGTCCTGGAGCAGAGGCAGGGGAGAGGGGCAGGGAGGTTGGGGCCAGGGTCTCCCTGCCCACTGAGGGCCACTGAGGAGGTGACGGAGGACAGCACTGGCCCTGCCTCTCCCGGGCCAATGACCGCGCGGTGGTTCCCGGCTCCGGCACTCTGGGGGTCCCAGGTGTGGCCGTACCTGTCTTGTGCAGCTCGGGGAGGAAGCGCAGGAAGATGGGGCGCGCATAGAGTGGCAGCTCCTTCTCCAGGCCCTGTGCAAACTGCTCCAGGTCGCAGGTGCCCGCGGGGTTGGCCACGGCAGCCATGCCCGCCCGGCCCTCGGTTCCTGGGGACAAAGACAGGCGCGCCGGTCGGTGAGGGGCAGGCCCGTGTCCCGAGGATGGGGGGGGTGTCTCCCCGTGGCCCCACCCCACCCCGTGCCCCCACATTACCTGGCACCTCCACGCCGTACACCGCCACGTCGGCCATGTCCAGCAGGCGGCTGAGGGTGCCCTCCACCTCGGTGGTGGACACGTTCTCGCCTTTCCAGCGGAAGGTGTCCCCGGTGCGGTCCCGGAAGTACAGGTAGCCTAGCTCGTCCATCACCAGCACGTCACCTGGGGGGAGGGGACACGAGGCGTGGGCCGGGCAGTCAGGAGGTAGGAATGGGGGGGAGGGGGTTCCTTCCTCCCGTGCCCCCCGTCCCCCCAGTGCCCAACCCACCCGTGAGGTAGGCCTGGTCTCCCTTCTTGAAGACGTCTCTGGCGATCTTCTTGTTGTTGGCGCCCTGGTTGAGGTAGCCGTCGAAGCGCCGCAGGGGGTCCTTCTGGATGATGCGGCCAACTAGCTGGCCCGGCTCACCTGGATGGAGGGGGGGGGTCAGGTGTCCTCTACCGCCCCCCCATGCTCTCTGCACCTGGACATCCCACAGTGCTCAGAGTTTCCTCGACACTGAGTTTCCCTGCCCGGGTGTCCCAGGCTCCGGGGAGCATCTGGGGTGGGGGTGAGGGGAGTCGTTGGAGGATGAAGCTCTAAACCTAAGGGACCCTATGGCGAGGGCAGCTGGCCGGGCGACACTTCCCGGGCGTGCCTCTGCTCAAGGTTTGTGGCTCCTTGTTATTTATTTTCGTTTCCATTTTTTTTGTTTTGTTTTTTGGTCTGGGGGCCACACCCAGCAGTGCTTGGGGCTTACTCCCCGAGGGACTTGGGGACCCTGTGCAGATTGGATGGGGAAAGGGTCTTCGCTGCTATATTACTTGGCTGGCCCTTTTGTTATTTTTGACTTTTTTTTTTTTTTTTTGCCTTTTGGGTCACACCCAGTGGTGCACAGGGGTTACTCCTGGCTCTGCACTCAGGAATCACTCCTGGTGATGCTCGGGGGACCATATGGGATGCTGGGAATCAAACCTGGGCTGGCTTCGTGCAAGGCAAATGCCCAACCCGCTGTGCTATTGCTCCAGCCCCTCCCTGTTCTTTTTTTTTTTTTTTTTTGCGTCACACCGGGTGATGCTCAGGGGTTACTCCTGGCTCATGCACTCAGGAATTATTCCTGGCAGTGCTCAGGAAACCATATGGGATGATGGGAATTGAACCTGGGTTGGCCACGCAAGGCAAACGAATGCCCTACCCTCTGTGCTATCGCTCCAGCCCCCCCCCCAGTCCCTGTTCTTTTTAACTTAAAGGGACGTCTTTAGAGGGGCGTCTCCCCAGTGCCCATGCTCAGCAGCAGCAGGACCAACCCCTGCGGGGCTCGGGGGGTCCGGAGAGGTGCTGGGAATTGTGTGCCATCATTCCGAATCATCTCCTTGTTCTAAGCTTTATGGGTTTCTTCTTCTTTGGGGGGTGTCCCCAGTGATGCTCTGCCCGGCGGTTCCTGGGAGGTCAGGCCACCAACCTGGGCCCCTGAGTGTGCCCGGCGGGCGCTCCAGTCCAGAGCCCTGCGAGGCATCTCCGCAGCCCGCAATCCTCAGGACGGCCCCTAGGTGGGGCTGTCACCTGCTCCATCTGCAAGTGCCGGGGCTGAGGCTTGGGGGTGGGGGCCAGAACTGAGGGCTGGGCCAGGCCAGGACCTGAGGTCCTCAACACAAACCCGCAGGGATGGACGCGTGGTGGGTGGGCAGGGAGGCGGATGTTCGCTGTTGCCAGACAGCTGGTGGAGGGACAGACGGGCAGGAGGGAGGGAGGGATGAATGGATGGCGGGCAAGCTGGCGGCTGGAGGGCAGACGGTGGAGAAACGGGCTGATGGGTGGACAGATGGACGGACGGACAGATGGATGGACGGACGGACATGAGTGGGGTGTAGAAGGGCGGAGGGACGGAGGGTGTATGGAAGGACAGACTGACGAGCGGCCAATGGGTACACGGGGGCGAGTGGGCAAGTGAAGGAAGGACTCAGCGCCCTGAGGGAGGAGCCGGCCAGGGGCCACTGGCCAGAGAAGGCCCCCCCCGTTCCCCCGTACCCCCACAGCTTCCTGCCCTCCTGAGGCCTCGCCCGCCTCTGAGCCCCGGTTTCGGCCCCCGCACAGACCTGGCTTGCAGGGAATGCAGACGCCGTCGCGCCCTCGGATCAGCTCCATGCTGTCCTCGTTGACACGCACCAGCCGGATGGGGTACACGAAGGACAGGATGCGGCTGTTGAAGCCACAGGCGCCCACCTGCCAAGGTCAAGGGCCGGATGCAGCCACGCGCCACCTGGCGAGTGGCTGGCCCTGCGCCAACCCAGCTGCCCGCCCGGCCCGCCACTGTCCTCGCCCCGCCTGCTGCCCGGCTGTGCCCGGCTGCCGCACCTGGCTGTCGAAGTTGCCCAGGCTGCAGTTGCACTCGGTGGCCCCATAGAACTCGGCCACCTGGGGGATGCGGAAGCGGCTGGCGAAGTCGGTCCAGATGGACTGGCGGAGGCCGTTGCCCAGCGCCATGCGCACGCGGTGCTGTGTCTCTGCCTCCCGCGGCGGCTGGTTCAGGAGGTAGCGGCAGAGCTCCCCAATGTACTGCACGATCTGGGGATGGGGGCACTGGCGTGAGGCTGGCCCTGGGCTGTGTGTGGGGGGCTACCCGCAGAGGACAGGGGCTCCCTCCGGGGGTCACAGCAGTACCAGCTCCCCCCACCCCCGCCACTCACGGTGCAGTTGTACTTGACACAGTCATCCCAGAAGCGTGAGGCCGAGAACTTCTTCCGGATCACCACTGTCATGCCGTGGATCAGGCACTGCCCGATGCCCACGATGTTCCCTGCGGGTGGATGGGCGGGCGGGCGGGCGGGGGTCAGCAGCTGGGACCTCCCCCAGGGCCTCCCCGTCTAGCCCGACTGCCACTCGAAGCACCTATGGGGGCTCGGCAACTTCTCCCCGACAGCCCCCAGGAAGCTGGCTTTGACCCTCAGCTCCTGCTCCCCTTCCTGGAATGTCACCCTCGGTCGGGGGCGGGGAAACCCAGGTGACCTGTTTCCGGTAGCCTGTCCTGACACTCCTCCTCCGGGAAGCCCAACAGTGGGCTGTTCCCCGCCGCCTCCCCCGCGCCTGTCTGCTGTGATCACACTCTGGGGCCCATCCCAGTCACAGGGGTGGGGAGGCCCTCGGACCAACACTCGGACACGTGACCCCTCACCGCCATGGCATGGAACGAGCGGCGAGGCCCACCCTGGCGGCAAGCAAACTGAAACTGGTCTGGAGCTCAGGGCGCAGCCATCAGGGGCCGCCCAAAGCCCCTGTGTTTGGACTGAGCTGCCGGCTGCCAGCACGGAGTGGGGATGAGGGGGCGGGGGCCGGTCACCTGCCGAGTGGTAGAGGGGCAGGCAGTCATAGACGACATCGTCGGGCCGCATGCGGAAGCCGTAGTACACCAGCGCGGCCATGCGGTAATACCTGCGGGCCAGAGGCAGAGTGGGCACCTGTGGGCGGCAGGGGTGGGAGGGAGGGTTCCCTGGCCGCCCCCCACACACACACACCTGCCTCCTACCTGCTGTGCACCACGATGGCGGCCTTGGGGAGCCCCGTGGTGCCCGACGTGTAGATGTAGAACAGCTTATCTGCAGGAAACAGACGGGGTGGGGTGGGGCAGCTGGGTCAGGACAGACAACGTCTATGTGTGCCGCCATCACACCTCCTCCAGGGAGCCTGTCTTGATGACCCAACAGGGGGCTAGGCCCTGGTGAGCACCTGCATCTGTCCCTTCAACCCCCATTTCCCGGACCCCCCAGGCTCTGCCCAGTCCAGGGGATCACCAGGGAGGTCTCCAGCAAGCAGGCCTGAGCACAAGGTCCAGGGGAGAAGGTTCACCCAGGAACCCCAGGTGAAGCGCCGAGGCCGAGAGCGGGGGCTCAAGCTGCAGCGAGTGGCGCTGTTCGAGCGCCCCCCGGCCAGCCTGTCCGTCTCCTTAGCACCCCTCACCCCCAGCAGATTGGCACGTTCCCCCCAGCACCCGGCACCTCACAGGGGGCAGAGGCTGCCCCGGAAGGGGTGAGGTGGGCTGGCTGCCCTGTTCCCGACCCCAGCACCCCATCCCCTGGCCTTTGCTCACTGTCCCACCCGCAGACGGGCATCATGCCAGAGGCTCGCTGGGATTCACTGAGGCATGCCTGGGTGCACTCTTCACCTGGGTGGTGCTCCCCAGGGGAGCACGGGCTGCTGGGGCGGAGATGGGGGGGGTCTTCCCGCAAGTGGCTACCAGAACACCCAGAGGAGCTGCGGGGACAGGGCCAAGGACAGCCCCCGAGGCGCTCCCGCCACACACCAACTCCCCAAACTCTCCACCACAGGCCCCGAACTGCCATGGAACCAGCGGCCCCTGCAAGATCGTGGCTGACGGGGGCGGGGGGTGCCTAGAGCCTGACACCAACTCGGGGACTCAGCCCCACTCCTGGGAGTCCCGCTGCACCCTGGGGGCAAGCTGAAGGGTGGGGAGCTCTCAGCCCAGCTGCAACTCAGGCCAAGCAGAGTCCCCCCCACCCCCACCCCCTGGTCCCACGGGGTTGCACCCATACTGGTCACCAAGGAATGTTTGTACAACAGAGGCATGAGCCGGAGCCCGTGGCAGTGCAGGGGCTTGTCCCGCAGCGCAGGCAACCCCAGGGGAAGTGGAGGGGGACCCCCAGTCAAGCACACGAGAGTGCCTAGCGGCCAGGCCGGAGGAGATAGGGGCTCTGCCCTGGGCCCACCTGTGAAGCCCTTGTTGGGGCGACTGGGCTGGTGCTTGGGGGCGTCTTCCAGCAGGGGGTCCAGGTGCTGTGTGCTCCTGGGCACGGCACTGGGGTCCCAGGAGCCCGAGCAGAAGAGGCCGAGCGCTGGGTCCAGGCTGTCCTGGATCTCGAGGACAGCTGCGGGGGAGATAGAGACAGGTCAGCCTGGTGGACGCAGGACCCGCCAGCCGCAGGGTGAGGGGTTCCGTTCCTGCCCGCCACGGCCCATTTCACAGATGAGGAGGACATGGCGGCCGGGGGCCATGCAGCCCCTCTGGCCTCCTTGCAGCGTGGGGACTTGGTTTTGGGATTTGGGCTGTCCCCAGCAGTATGGGGGGGCAGGGCCACTCGCAAAGTTTCAGGCTCCCCGGGTGGTGCTGGGGCACAGGCTGCCACAGGGCTGGGACGCACCCCCCCCCCCGCCCCCTTCGCGGGCCCTGGGCAATCTGTGCCATCTTCACAGGCCCTGGGCCCAGAGGGCCCAGATTCTCACCCACCCAGGCACAGGCTTGGGGCCCACTTCCTCCGCAGGCCTCTCCCTCGCTGCCCAGCACCCCCACACCCCACGGCAGCGCTTGGACACGCACCAGGCCACTGCGGGGCAGCCTGGGATCGAATCTTGGCGTCCAGCACCAAGCCCTGAGGACAGCGCCTCCCCACCCCCGCCCCCTTGACCCTCCGTGTCCTCAAACACTGAGCTGCCCACTGCGGCCGGGCCAGCACTGCCCTCCACCCCCACCGCTCGTCAGCCCAGGGAAAGGAGAGCAGGGAAGGGAGCCCCTAGCTATGCCCAGATGCCCACTCACAGGTGGGGAGAGATGCCCCGGGCAGGGAGGGGCCAGGCGGGGGGACTCATCAAGCCTCTTTGCAGGGGCTCGGAGGTAAGAGCTCCAGGAGAAACTGAGGCAGGGCCGCAGGCTCCATTCTTGGCATCTCGGGCTGACCTGTGGGAGCCCAAACCGCCTGCCGGGCTCCCGGGCTCCAGCCTTCGGCGTGTGCCCCCCGACCCCCCGGCTCACCTGGGGCCATCTCGCTGCCGAAGAGTAGGGCGCGCGCCCGGGAAGTGGTGAGGCAGTGGCGCAGGGCATCGCGCCGGAGGTTGGTGTTGATGAGTGCCGCCTCCACGCCCAGCTTGGCCATGCCCAGCCACAAGCCCACAAACTCGTTGCGGTTCTCCATGAAGAGAGCGGCCACATCGCCCGAGGCCAGGCCCTGGGCCTGCAGGAAGTTGGCCACGCCGCTGGAGTACTCATCCAGCTGGCGGAAGGTCCAGTGGGTGTCGGTGCCCTCGAAGATCAGGGCCGTCTTGTCAGGGTGGCGCCGGACGGTGTTGGCGAAGAGGACGGGCACCGTGGACTGGTCCTGCAGGTAGCGCCGCACTTTGCCCTTCACCTTCAGGAGCACCATGCCGCCGCTGCGGGGAGAGGGGGCTGCTGCAGCCGAACCCGGGCCCCCCCCTCGGGTGGATGGGGTTGGGCCTTTTTTGGGGGGTGGGGGTCACGCCAGCAAGCACTCTATCCGCCAGCCCTCAAGCTGAGCCCGGAACCCTGGAACTCTGGGGCCCCGGGGGCTCACGCCCTGGTGGCCTCTGAACTCTGTGGAGCCCACTGCTGTCCAGTCCTGCTGCAGGACACTGGGCCGAGCTCGGGGCCACCCACGGCTGCCCAGCCCCCAGGGCCATGGCAAAGAAAAGAACGAGTCCGCCTTTGTCTGGGCCCCCCCCATCCCGGGCGTCCTGGCCACCTCCTTATCCTGAGGGTGACTCAGTGTCTGGCTGAGACAGACGTTCAATACATTTGAGGAATCTCAGCAGCTGCCCCCTAAGCCCGCCCCGCCCCTGCCCACTCTGACCCCTGGAACCCCCGTTCCCGGCCTCCACCAGCTGATGCTCTTTGGCTTTCTGCCGCGCTCGTGAAACAGCCACACAGCCCAACAACCGTTCCCTCCATGAGGCCCTGCCCGGCACCTGCTCTGTGCTCCAGGCTCCCCTGGGGGGCCCTGGGGGGCCCCTTCCTACGGGGCTGCCCAGAACCTCCTCCTGCAACTGGCTCAGTGGTCAGTGCTGAGATGCCTCTTCTGGGGGCGGGGGGGGGGGGTCACTGTGCTTGTGTCCCCCACTTGTGGCACTGCCTGTTTCGGGCTTCCCACCTTTGCTCCCTGACAAGGTGGCCCTGGGCGCACGTGCAGACCTGGTGGTCCCCTTCCCAGCCCCCGAGCCGGTGAGGACTCTGGCCCGGAACAGCCTTTCTCTGGGGTTCACCCAGACGTTTGCTTGGAGCTGGACTCGCTCCTGCCCTCCACGCCCTCGGTCTCCCCCCCCCGCCCCCCGTGGTGCCCACTGGCATCAGCGAGACAGGCCTCCAGGCAGCTCACATGCCTGGGGAGCAGAGTCGAGCCCAGGTCACTAAACCAGGTTTGTATCTTTTGGGGAGCCATATCTGATTGTGTTCAGGGCATTATTCCTGGCTCTGTGCTCAGGGATCATTCCAGGCAGGCTCGGATGACCCGAGGGAGGGAGGGGCGTCGGAGATTGAACCCGCTGAGCGGCATGCAACCAGAAGCCCCAGGCCCAGCTAGGGAGAATCCGTGAGCCTTTTTTCTTCACTTTTGGGCCACACCAGGGGTTCTCTGCCTGGTCCTTCAATCAGGAATCACTCCTGGGGGTGCTCAGAGGGGACCATATGGGAGAGGCTGGGGATCGAACCCGGGTTGGCGGCAGGCAAGACAAGTGCCCTCTCTGCTGTGCTAGGGCTCCAATACCATGAGACTGTGACCAGGGATGCGGAGACCCCAGGGACCAAGGTCAGGGGCTGAAACGGAAGCCGGGATCTGGGGACCCAGGGGGGCCCAGGATGGCCCAGCTAAGGGTCTGGTCTGGGGAAGGGGTGCTGGCTGGGGCATCGCGAGCCCAGAGCGGCACGGGAGACCCCAGGAAGATACTCACAAGACATCGCGCCGGATGGTCTTGACGAAGACCCGCACGAAGCGCCAGCCGCCCGAGCCCAGGTACAGCAGCAGCACGGAGCAGCCCACCTGGGTCCAGGGCAGTTTCAGCACCAGCCTGGAGACCAGGACCAGGCCCAGCAGAGAGGCCCCGAGGAGCATTGTGGCCTGTGGACACAGGTTATTCGGTGAGTCCCGAGATGCCTGGGTATACCCCCAGAGGTCCACATCCCATCAGACCTCGCCCTCCTGACCCGGTCCTCTTGCCCGACTGCAGCAAGAGCCTCAGGTGCACAACCACTGTTCCAGGTGTGAGTTCAGAGGCTCGAGCCCCAAGATCACATGACTGTGCCTCCCCGGGGACTCGGGCAAGTCCCTTCGGGCACTTGAGGCCTCACTGTTCCCCTCTCCGGAATGGGTACACGGATACCCTCACTCAAGACTTCTCCAGTCCGGACTGGGAGCCGCCTTGTCCTCCCGGGCATTTTAGTGGCCTGGACAGGGCTGGGCGGCGCCAACACAAGAGCCCCGGCCCGGCTGCCCACCCAAAGCACAGGGAAATGCTGGGGACCACCGGCCATATCCCAGCCGTGGTGGGGAAGGGGTCCCCGTGGTGGGAAGGGGTCCCCACTTCGCTGTCGCCCCAGGCAGGGCAGCGCCGTGCCTCCGCGCGGCCCATAGAGGGCGACCGAGCAAACAGGTTCGGGCGCGAGGTGCGGAGAGGTGACCGCCCAGGTGGGGGGGAAGGTGCCCGCGGGAGGGGGCGCAAGGCGAGGGAGGGCGCGCCCCTCCGGGCGGCTCCCGGCGCCGCCGCCGCTGCCGCCGCGTCGGGCTCCGTGGCGGGGGGCGCGGGGCTTGGGGGTCCCTGCCGGGCTGCGGGGCGCCTTCCCGGTCCCCGCCGCGGCGCTCGGGGCCCGGGCAGAGGCGCCGGCCGCGCTCCGCCGGCTTGGGGGGAGGCTGAAGGTCACGGGCGGGATGGAGCGGGAGCGGGTCCGCCGCGCGATCGCGCCCAGCGCTGGACCACCGACGCCCGCAACCGTCGTCCCCGCCCCGGCTGGGGCCACACCCGCGCCCCCGACCCCCTCCCCGGCCGCGGGTCCGTGGCCCGCGCTCCCCGCGCGCCCCCCCGGCCCCGGAGACAGGTGGCGGCCGCGGGCGGGATGCCCGTGCCCGGAGCAGGCGCAGGGCGCCCCCCGCCCCCCAACGCCGCCCCGGCCCGGCCCGGCCCGGCCCCGCTCACCGGCGTCGGCCCCGCCGCGCGGCGCCCGTCCCGATGCGGCCCGGCTGCGGAGCCGCTCTCAGCCCCGCCGCGCCCGCTCCGGGCCCTGCATGGCCCGGCCGCCCCGCCGCGCCCCGCGCCCCGCGCCCCGCCCGCCGCTCCGCCCCCGCCGCCTGCGCCGAAACCGGCCGCGCCGGCCCGCGGCACCGCCTCGCGCGCCTCCTGCCCGGCCGCCCGAGTCGCAGAGCCCGCGGCCGCCCGCCCCGCGGCACGCCGGGACTTGTAGTCCGCGCGCCCACCCCACGGCGCGGGACCCCCGCCCCGCCCCGCGCGCGCCCCGCGCGCACCGTGCTCGCGCGCGCCCCGGCCGCGGAGATTGCGCACCGCGCGCCCGGACCCGGCCGAGCTTGGCACCGGCGCCGCGCCACGCCCAGGCCGGGGGTGGGGGTGGGGGGCAGAGGTGTGCCCGGGGGCGACCCTGCCATCTGGCCGTGCGCGCCCGCTGATAGGGTGCCGGGCTCCTGGCCCATCTGGGTGTGGGCATGCAGAGCTTGGAGGCCGATTCTGCCAGGAACCAGCAGAACGGCTGCGGGATTTTGTTTTGTTTTGTTTGTTTGTTTTCACCTCTGTCAGGTCATTGATCGGGTGCAGGAGGGCTGAGACCACCATAAAGTTAGCACGCAGGAGGGATTCTTACCCATCATCGCGTTATCTTGTACGTACCAGACACCTGGTGATACAAGAAGCAGAGATGGGGCAACCTTTGACCTCTGATCACGGCTGCCTGTGTGCAAACCAGTTAACCTGTGAGTCTGTGCCTTCGCGTGTCCGCCCTGCCCTGCCCTGGGACCGCTTCCGGCCCTGGTCCCTCCAGGATCCAACGTGCTGGCATTCTGGCCCTGAAATAGAACCTAATCCCTTAGTCCAGTAGAGCCCTTAAAAGGGGCAGAGGGGTGGTGTGGCTATTCAGTGGGATTAAAAACGAGATTTTAGTCCGATGAGGATTTGGATCTCTCTTTCCTAGAACGCCGATGCGGCCTTTGGGGGAGCTGGATGAGTGAATGTTCCTCCTTCCCCTGGGCCCTCCATTCAGGGGACCAGCCCTCTGCATCAACAGGCGTGGGCAGCTGCTCAGCTCAAAGTTCAGAATCTCTGGGGCTGGAGAGATGGACAGTGGGGCAGGCGCTGGACTTCCATGCGGCTGACCTGGGTCCAATCCCCAAACCCTGTCAGGTGTAATCCCTGAACACAGAGCCAGAAGAAAGCCCTGAGCATAGCTGGGTGTCACTCCCAAGCAAAAAGTTCAAAGTTTCTTGAACTGGGGAGACGGCTTGAAGGTCCGGTGCGCCCGCTTTGCATGCAGGAGGCCCAGGTTTGATCCCTGGCACCACACGGTCCCCAGCACGGGGCTGGGTGTGGCCCCAAAGTAACAAAAACGGAAAGCAAATTTCACGCCAACATTTTACTTCTTTTTGGTTTGGGGCCACAACTGGAAGTGCTTGGGCCTTACTCCCGGGGAGCGGGGGGCTCAGAATCAAACCTGGGTGGGCTGAGTGCAACGAAGGGCCCTGCCCACCATCCTGTTCCTTTGTCCTCTATATGTGTACTTGTTGTTTTTGTGTTATACCTCCATAGGCGGGCTGGAGTGATAGCACAGTGGTACGGCATTTGCCTTGCGTGCAGCCAGCCCGACCGAGCCGTGTTCGATTCCTGCACCCCTCCCAAAGAGCTCAGCAAGCTACCAAGAATATCTCGCCCACATGGCAAAGCCTGGCAAGCTACCCGTGACGTATTCAATATGCCAAAACACAGTAACAACAAGTCTCATGATGGAGACGTTACTGGGCCCGCTCGAGCAAATCGATGAACAACGGGAGAACAGTGACAGTGACAGTGACCTCCATAGGGCTCAGGGGCTACTCCTGACTCAGTGCTCTGGGTCACTCCTGGCAGTGCTCAGAGCATTATGTGGTACCAGGAATCACACCTGGGCTTCCAGCACGCCACGTCTATACACTGAGCCCCTGAGCTCTCTCTAACCCATCTTTTTTTTTCCCCCCAAGCCCCTCCCATTGCCACTGATGCTCGTGGGGGCCACACTGCACTGGGGGTTGGTCCAGACCACAAGCGCCGCAGGGCTCTGCAGAACACAAGCATGTGCTTCACCACTTGAGCCACGTCCCTGGCCCTGAACATTTCCATTTCCCTTTTTCTTGTTTTGTTGGACCACACCCAGCCATGTTCAGGGCTGACTCCTGCCTCTGCACTCGGGAGTCACTCTTGGTTGGGGCTCAGGGAACCCTACGGGATGTCGGGGATCAAACTCCAGGTTGGCCCCATGCAAGGCAAACTCCCTCCCCGCTGTACTATGGCTGCAGCCCCAAAGTCTCCATTGCTTATCTGATCTCGGCGACATCCCCAAGCCACCGGGTGGACACCAAGTGAATTGTAGAAAGGTTGTGCAGTCATGACCTGACAGCAATCGTGGTTCCCAGACTCAGTGGCCAGAGTTCACGTAGGATCAAGTTCTAGCTGTGCCCATGATCTCTGATTAGATACACAGCCAGCAGCCAGAGCACAGAAAGGGTGAGTGATTGATAACAGAGTGAACTGCCGGCTCCGAACTCCTCTGTGGGTCTAAACATGGTGACAGCCATATAATGCCTGAGGTCAGGCAATTGGGTCTGGAGTAGCAAAGAGGCTCCCTGCCGTTCCCCCCACACCCGCCGGCTGTCCATGTTGGTGAGGCCACAGCAGAGCCCCACTGGACAGTTGGCCAGCCTGAGGGGAAGAGGGCAGGAGACGGAACCAGCCTTAGTACCGTCTGGTTGCTTATAACCTGTGGCAAACGCCTGGCGTGCATGAGGCCCCAGCACTGCCCAGGGTAGCCCCGCTGGCCCCAGCACTGCAAGGGAGCCCTCTGCCCCCAGAGTAACCAAGGTGCTGGGCTGGAGAGATGGCCCACCGGGCTGGGTCCCAGACTTTGCCTGCTAGAGCCCAGGTTCAATCCCCAGCACTGAGGAGGTCTCTTGAGTGCTGCTGGTGTGACCCACAAACAAAAGAAAACCAAACCCCCAAACCTCAAGTTGCTTATGGTCCAGTTGGCCACAATGGAAAACAGGAACTTGCACCCCACCAGAATGTGTGGGTTCTCCCAGGGGTACCCTTCCCTCACCCCAGTCAGGCATGTCTGGGCAGCACCTTGGGCAGATTCTGCTCCCCTGGGGCAACTCAGGGTCCTCATCTGTAGTCTGAGACCTGAGCATGGAGATTCATTCTCTGGGTTTCTGGCTGGGGAGTGTCGACTGTTGGGTCAGCCTGTTCCACTAGTGACAAACCCAACACCTGCCCATTTGGTTTTGGGGTCCTTTTGCTTTTGAGGGGGTGGGTTTGGGCCACATCTGGGGGTACTCACAGGCTACTTCCAGCTCTGTGCTTGGGGGTCATTTCTGATGGTTCTCAGAGGACCATGTGTGATGCCAGGGCTGGGATGGGGATCAGCCCCACGCAAGGTAAATCTGAATCCCTGTATTATATATCCGACCCCCATTTTTGTTTTATTTTTGGGTCCTCCGGGACCCAGCCAAAGCCATGCTGAGACCACTCTCCACATGCTTGGACGAGCCTCACACATGAAGGAACCGGCAGAAGAACCCAGGTGTGCTGGACCCGGGGCTGAGATTTCCAAGCCTGCTCGGTTCGGGACTGCGCCTCCTCCACCCAGATCCCCCATCTTCCAGTAGCTAGACAGTTACACCCACCAAGTGCCGTGTAACCCCATCAGTGGCCAGGATCCAGAGACTATAAAACCAAGCTCCCGGAAGCATGCGGCCACAAATCCTCTTATTCTCTAGTTCTCGCTCTCAGAGAACCCAGCAGGCTACTGAGAGTATCATACCCGCATATATGCCCGACTGGCAACACCTGTAAAGGTGATTAGCGGCTGCCCCAAAAGCCTCCATCCCTCTTGGAGAGCCCGGCAAGCTACCGAGAGTATCCCGCCCGCACGGCAGAACCTGGCAAGCTACCCGTGGTGTACTCGATATGCCAAAAAACAGTAACAGTGAATGGTCCTCATTCTCCTGACCCTGAAGGAGCCCCCTATATGTCATCGGGCTACACTAGCACGTGACAGGGACAATGGAGACGTTACTGGGCCCACTCGAGCAAATCAAGCAATGGGGTGATATTGATAGTGATTTTTGGGTCACACCTGGTGGTGCTCAGGGCTCATTCCTGGCCGTTGTGCTCAAGGATCACTCCTGGCAGGGCTCAGGGGACCATATGTGGTGCCGGGGGTCCAATCCAGGCCAGCTGCGTGTAAGACAAGTGCCTTCCCTGCTATATTCTCTCCAGCCCTCCTGCCCCTTTTCGATTGATTATTTTTCGGTTTTCACCTTCCACTTGCACCCAGTGCTGTTCGGGGCTCACTCCCATCACACTAGGATCACCGTAGCGCTCTCGCCCCAGCCCAGCCTACCAAGACCCTAGGCGGCTTTTCAGCACCTTCCTTGGGTAAATCCTCTTCCTGGAACACTGGACGCACAGCCTACCACACAGCCCACTCCCCGTGTTCGTCCCACCAACACCATCCAAATGCACGCAGGCTGACAGGGACGGCATAGCGCGCCCATGAGCATCCTCTTAAGGGTGATCAAGCCCTGGCGGCTGGCGGGGAAACAGAGGCCCAGGAGAGCCGGGCTGGGCTCCTGGACAACTCCGCACCCACCTGGGGCCTACGTGCTGGCCCTAGAACATGAAAGGCTGGGCCATCTGGGACATGTCTCTGGGCGTCCACTCCCTCTGGGAGCATGCGTGTCCCCCACTTCTTAACCTGGAAGATGCCGAGCGGCCACCTCCAAACACACCTGCAGCCCAGACCACAGCCAAAGACACCTACCCTCCTCCCTGCTTCTCAGGAGCCGTGCCACGGCCCTCCACAGCCCCATGGAGCGAGGGGGGACGCACTTTTCCTCCCTGCCCTGATGAGATGGGCTCAGAGAGGGCAGGTTGCTCTGCTGGAAAAGGGGGGCTCTGTGTTTTGCCCAGGCAGGAAGAGCAGACAGATGTGCAGAGAGATGTGTAGACAGGCGCCCTTTATTCCCAGGGGGACACTCAATGGCTCCCCCTTGCTTCTCAGGCCAGTGGAAGGTGGGGAGCCCTCCCAGCACTCAGGACCCCCTGGCACCCAGGAGGGGGCCGGACACCCTCAGTCCTTGTCAGACCGCCAACTTCTAGTCCCACGAGGTTCTCCTGAAGTCCAGGAGCTCCGTGACGAGGAGAGAGGCCCAGCGGGGTCCAGCATGGAAGAACAGGTGGCCAGGTGGGCCTCAGGGGTGGGGCCCGGCGCTGGGGGTCCAGGGGGGGTCGGCGATGCCCAGTTCTTCCCGCAGTGCCTTCAGGGGCTGCTCCCAGCGGCGCTCGTAGTACAGGTTGAGGACACAGGGCGCGCGGCGGCCGCTGGCCACGGCCCAGGGGATCAGCTCGGAGACCAGCACGCGCAGGTTCCTAGGGCAAGGAGACGGGGTGACGGCTGGGACAGGCGGGTGGCTCCCACCCCCGGAACCCCAGCTCCTGGCAGCCAGGTGCCCCTTTAGACTGTTAGAGCAAACCCTCCTCAAGCGAGGGAACCTCCCCCAACTCCAGAAAGCAAGCAAGACACCCCCTTCCCTGCCCGACACCCCACGGGCTGAGCGCCCTGTGCATGGCCCGGCTTTACAACCATGGCCAGGCTGGCCTCTGAGCCCCACTGACCGCAGAGCTGGGGGTTGAGCAGGAAGACGCTGGCTTGGCCCGGCCTAGCCTGGCCTCCCTTGCACGCCCCGCAGAGCACTTACGGGGCGTTGAGGTGCATGGGGCCGAAGAGTGCTCCCAGGACGCACATGGGCAGCCCGGTCTGCACGGCCTCGAACCATTTCACGACGATCTCCCCTGGGGGATGGTAGGGGTGAGTGTGGGGGGCCCAGGCAGCAGCCGGAGGAGAGTGGGAGCCTCAAGGACCCCCCCACTCTCCTCCAGCCTCCACATGCCCAGCCCTGCCCCCCCTTGGACCCTGCGTACCCCACGCCGGACGGGGTTGGGGCGGGGGTGACTCACCCAGCATGTTGGTGGGCATCCCTAGCAGTGTGTGCAGCATGTCGTGGACCTCCCGGTACCGCTGGATCACGTAGGCCAGCTCCTCGTCATCCACGAATCGGGTGGGCGCGCGGGTGTCTGGGGAGACCCTCTGACCCCCAAAGCCCCGTTTGGCCTCTTCCACGGGCAGCACAGTCCCCCCTGCCCCAATTCCCGACCCACCCCCCCAAATCTCTGGGGACCCGACATGGCCCATACCGGCCACGGGGGTGCCCTCGGGCAGGAGCGTGGTGTACTGGGACACCCCTCACCCCCGGCCTGCCAACGCCCACATCTGCCAGGGACACAGGACAGCAGGGGGTTGGGGGGGCTTGCCTTGCACGCAGCAGGGTTCCATCCCTGCCTCCAATGCAAGGGTCCCCCAGCACAGAGCCAGGAAGGGCCCCTGAGCACTGCTGGGTGAAGCCCCCAAATAAGAACTAAAAATAGAATTCCTTCCAGGTCTACTGAGGCCGAGCAGGGCCCCCTCATAGCCGGCTCCCGCTCACTGTCACTGGGCAACACCCATCCCCCTTGCCGCCATGGCAGGAGCGTCCCTGTATGGTCTGCACTGAATAAGGCCGGGTAGGGTCTGAGTCTCAAAATGTGATGGTGCCCACACGGAAGTCACGCTGGCCTCGAGCCCCAAATCAGGTAGCTGTAAGAAACCTTTGGGCTGCAGCGACAGCATGGTGGGGAGGGTGTTTGCCTTGCACATAGCCAACTGGGGTTCGACTCCTGGTACCCCATACAGTCCCCTGGGCCTGCCAGTAGTAATTCCTGAGCACAGAGCTAAGAGTAACCCTTGAGAACCTCCAGGGGTAATAAAAGAAAAGAAACAAAACAACAAAAGGGCCAGAGACCAGAGAGATCGTATAGCAGGAAAGGTGTCAGCCTTGCATGCAACCCCCCAACACACACACCATACACAACTAGACAGCCCCTCCAGCACTGCCAGGAGTGACTCCTGAGAGCAGAGCCAGAAGTAGCCATGAGCATCATTAGATGTGGCCCCAAAACAGAACAAACAAACCAAAAAGAAAACAACTAGGGCTGGAGAGAGTACAGATTAAGGCATTAGCCTGCAGCTGACCAGGATTCAGTCCTCAGCATCCCATATCTCAGAAGGGATCCCTGGGTATTCGCCAGGTATGACTGAAACCACTGCCACATGTGCGTGCACGCGTGCGCGCGCACACACACACACACACACACACACACACACACACACCACACAGTTCTCCTCTCCTCTCTGTGTGGAGTGAGGGGCCCACCGTGGGCCTGGGACAATCGAGGTAACTTGTGCTCACTGTGGCCTCCCAGATGCCTGGGTAAATCCAGGGTTCCGGTTCCAGAGGCCCAAAGCGAGTCCTGGGAGAGTTCCTTATGCCAGGCTGCAATGCCAACCATTACCCTCACCTGCCCGCTGCAAGCAAGAATGTGGCTGTATAGCCCCAAAGCTGGGGGACATGGAGCCTATGGGGCTGCAGGGGCCGCTGCCCCGGAGCTGATGGGCAGACCCCCACCCTGTGGAAACCAACAGGAGGGGCGTTTCTGAAGCCACACGCGTGTGCACTCTGCGCAGACTGTCAGGCCCGAGGAGACAGCGGGGTTCATGGAGGAAGACCCGCCCGGATGCGGGCTAAGGGGCACACAGTACTGGGAGCTCGGTCGTGTCCACCGCACCCACACCCGTCAGGAACCAGTAGGTCCCAACGGGGCTGGAGGTGGTGCCAGGACCAGCCATCAGATAAGGAGGGAGGCTCAGGAGACGAGGCCCGGGGAGGGCCGGAACTCAAGTCCAGGTCATCACAGGATGACACTCGTCCCTCCCTGGGTCAGCCTCAGGGAGGGTGGCCGCCGCCCTGGGAACCTTGGCCTACATTTCCGGAGGGACTCAGGTGCTCCTCTGCATTCCCGGGCCGCTGTGTGGCAACCTCTCAGGCAGTGGCCAGGCCTGCACCGGGGAGACCGCCTCCAGCCACGGGCCTGAGCAGGGGCAGTGCCAGCCGGGCAGAACGGGGGCGGCTCAGCTCACAGGTGAATCAGAGGGCGTGGGGGCAGGTCAGGCCTCAGGGACAGGAACCTTCTCGAGCAGTGACTGTCAGCCCCCCTGGGGTCACCTTTAGTGTCTGGGAGACAGCTGGAGTGTTGACATTCACAGGGGTACTGTCAGCACCAACACACACAAACACACACACACTGCAGAGACACACACACTAAATTGCATATACACACTGCACACATTCTGCATATACACACTGCGTGCCACACACTGCATATACACACTATATACATACACACACTGCATATACATACTGCACACACACACACACACTGCACATAACATATCCACACTGCACCTATACACACACTGCACATACACACCACACACACACACACACTGCACATAACATATCCACACTGCACCTATACACACACTGCACATACACACCACATACACACACCCACCACCAAGAGCCAGCCGGCCCCAGGTCCAGGGTGCCCAGGGGAACCCCCTGTGCTGGCCCGAAGTCCCCTCTGCCCACTGTGGCCCTCCTCCAGCGGGGCCAGTCCCACGGCAGGAGAGCCTGAACTGGCCAAGCACTGGGCGAGTACTACTAGGCGGGCAACGAATGGAGTCCAATGGCCTCTGACGGATCAGATCAGGTTACAGTGGAGCCCACAGCAATGCCCCCCTGTTTAGGACCGTCCTGAGCACAGGGCTGGCTTTTAAAAGGTCCTAGAGGGCAATCTAGAAAAAAAAGGAGGATTAAAAAAAAGTTGTTTTAAATATATCTAAAATCAGAAAAAATCAGATCAGGTTACGGTCCTGCTCCAAACCCACTGAGATTCTTCCTGCTCCTATTACAAGAGACAACCGTCTCCTCTACAGCCGCAGGGCTGGGCCTGGCAGCCCCAGTCCCGCTCCGGCTTCAGTCTCCAGGGCACTGGGGCACTGGCACCTGGCAGGGATGGCCCTGGGCCTCCCCCAACTGAGGCGGGTGCTATGCCCTGAGCCCCCGCCTGAGCCTGGCTTTCCCTTTTATTGAAGTGGGTTGGGGGAAAGCGTTGGTCTACACCCGGGGGTTCTCAGGGCTACTCCTGGCTCTGTGCTTGGGGACTCTGCAATGCTGGGATTGTGATAACCTTGTACTCTCCCTCCCCCCCCCCCAGCTCCCCTGCCTCCCTTCACTCCTGGGGGCCACTCCTCATCCTTCAAGTGTCCTCAGGGATCTCCCTGAGAGAAGGGTCCATTGGTCTAGGGTCTTTCTAGAGTGGACGCCGGGCAAGGGCCAGCCCATGGGATCTCTGCTGGCTGCAACATCCTAAATTGGGGAGCCCAAGCACATGTGACACATATTTTGCCAGAACTTTTGTTCGTTGGTTCTGGGGGGCAGCCCCAGCGGTATGAAGGAAGTCAGCAGGGCGGGAGCCCTGAGCCCTGAGCCTGCCCATATGTGCTGTCTCTCCCTTCCTTCTGGGTTCGGCTTTGTGCTTTTGCGGTCTTTGCCGGGTGCTTGGGGGCAGCGGTGCTGGGGACTGATCAAACCTATGCTTTGACCCTGGAGCGATCTCCCTGGCGCTGGAACTTTGGAAAGGACAAGATGGAGTCAGACCTGCTTGGGGGGGGGGGGGTTACTCCTAACTCTGCCCTCAGGAACCACCCCTGCTGGGACTCAGGGAACCATATGGGATGCTGGGGATTGAACCAGGATTGAACGGAGTCAGTCACATGCCAATCAAGCACCTTACCCACTAGACTATTGCTCTCGCCCTGAAATTTTGTCTGTTTGTGAGGGGGCTACACTCAGCGATGCTCGGGGATTACTCCTGGCTCCCTCTCGGGGATCACTCCTGACAGTGCTCAGGGGGCCATAAGGGATGCCCAGGATCAAACCAAGGACAGCTGTGTGCAAGGCAAACGCCCTCCCCACTGTACTATCTCTCCAGCCTGAATTTTTTTCCTTTTAAGAAGGCTACTCCCAGCAGTGCTCAGGGTTATGTGGTGCCAGGGATCTCACTCATGGCCTTGCGAGGGTAAGGCTTTTCCACCACCCGACTCTCCCTGGCCCTGATAGGATTTATGAGCATTTCCTTATTTTCTGGCTTTGTCATCCACCTGTCCAACTTGAACCCAAGATTTGTGGTGCGGGAGCACGTCTGACACCCCGCTATCTCCCTGGCATGGGTGACAGCAGGGACACAGGGCAGATGTTCAACAAATGAGTTCAGCGCGTCCGTGTGCTTGAGGCTCCGCGTCCCTGTCCTGAGTCTGGGGCTGAGGCCGGGACACAGCGCTGCGGCCCTGACGGGCGTAACCCACACTGGCCTCCAGCGGTCCTGACTGTGCAAACCCGGTGAGCTGGCAAACTGCTCTGCGCATCTCTTGGAAGGGGGAAGGCACGGAGCAGATGGGCTCGGGTTCGGGGAGGACTCGGCGGGTGACACCGGAGCCAGCGGCAGCAAGCGGTAAGAGTCTAAAAAATGCTGCCAACAGGCCGTGTGCAGCCAGATTCCCGGCACCTCTGCCAGCCCCCAGGAAAGCCACAAAGCGTGGCACCAGGCGGATGGGCACCACCCACCCCGGTGGATGGCCGGGGCTGTGTCTCTGACAGCTCCCCACGCTGCCCAACTCCGCCATGGAAACTCACATTCTCATCCAGGAAGCGCAGGTACTCACGGCCCAACGAGCCTTCCGGGAGGCTGCGGAGTCTCGCCAGGTCCAGGGTGGACAGGGAGATCCGGGGACGCTCCCTGCGAGGTGGAAGGGGAAAGTTAGCTCTAAGGTGGGTGCAGCAAAAGCAGGGGCGAGGCCCACCTAGAGGTGAAGGGAGCCATGGCACCCCAAATCACCATGGGGCTCTGACCGCTAGCGGGGATGGCAGGGATGACACCAGCTACAGGCTTGGTTTCCGGAGACAGCCCAGGGGCCCAGGGGACCTGCCTGGCTTGCACAAGGACCTGAGCTCCACATCCCCAGCTTTGTGTCACACCCCCCTACCCCCACCCCCGGGCCCCAAGAACCCCTCTAGTGGCCCTGTCCAACATCCCCAGGCCTGAGTAGGGCCAGCTGCTGAGCACTAAACTGTCAAACCTTCCAGGCCGAGTGTTGCTGGGGCTGCAGCCTCTGGGGCCCCTTGAGCACCTAAAAGGGCCCCCAATCAGTATGCAAACTCAAGGTAAGGTCAGGCCTGCAGGGCACAATCAAGCCACAGGCGATGAGGCGCCAAAAAGAACCACAAAGACCGGTGGGAAGTCACAGCACTGAGAGCTCAGTGAAGGCAAGAGCCAGGGTACCACACCACAGCCAGCGCCATGAATGATGCTCATGGAGCTGCCATAGATCCCCCAGAGGACTGAGCCCACCCACCCCCGCCCCGCACACCAAGCACCTACTGCAGGATCTGGGCGCCCTCTGGGTGCCCCCTCATCTTCTCCCGGAGCACCTTCAGGGCTCGCAGTCCCGTGGTTTCTCCCAGCACCGCGACCATGTCTGAAAGGCAAAGCCGGGGGAAAGAACTGGACCTAGGGGGCAGTCCGCTCAGCTGCCCACACCCTGAAGCAGGGAAGGACCCCCTGGGCTCCGCAAGAAATCAGTGACTCTCACTAAGGTCATTCAGTCACTTGGGGAGGGGGCAGTGAACGGCTCTTAGGGGTGAAACCACTTTCACACCCATTGTCCCAACAGGGAGTTGTGACAGATGGGGTGATGGCATGACAGTGTGGCATCAAGGTTCGGGGTGATCGCTCTCCAGGTTATGTTGTGCAAAGGGCTTCACCTTTCCCAGACTCCATGCCCTCCTTTGTGAAGTGCAGTGAATGCTGTTCTCTAGGATCAGCTGAGGAAGTCAAGAGCATCACCCACTGAAGCAGTGGCCTGAGGGCTCGCTACGGTGCTCGCCTTGCATGCAGCAAGATGCAAGTTCAATCCCCAGCATCACCAGGGGTTTGATCCCTGAGCACAGAGCCACAAGTAAGCTTTGAGCACTAGCAGGTACGACCTCAACTCCCCCCTTACTCCACCTACCATATCCCCACCCCCCCCAAAAAAAACAAAAGTGTAGCGGAGTCGCCAGAATAAGTGCTCTGTGAACGGTTAGCATGACATTTTTTTATTAGGATCAAATACTTTCCATCCTTAAATCTGGCAAGGGCTGTGGCTGGAGCAATAGAACAGTGGGGAGGGCGTTTGCCTTGTCACGGGGGTGGTGGGGGGGGGATCCACGTTCGATCTCCGGCATCCCATATGGTCCTCCAGGGGTAATTCCCGAGTGAAGAACCAGAAATAACCCCTGGAGTATCCTCGGGTGTAACCCAAAAGGCAAATCATTAACTAAGAAACCTGGCAGGGCGAGAAGGGCACTGGAGAACGATGTCCCGTTCCTACACGCAACTAAAAATGTATTGCGCGTTTCCACGGGGCCAGGCGCTAGGTTGCTAGTGATCGAGCAGAACGTTTAATTTCTAGGGAGCTGAGCGCTGTGGACCGCGCTGCGGCAGCTTTGGTCCAGGGTGGAAACAGTTTCAAAAGAGGAGGCCCAGGGAGGAAACAGTTTCAAAAACAGAGAACCGCAACGACACGCCCCTTCCTCGTGCTCCTCCCCACCCGGGCAACTTCAGACCCGAGCCTCGGGAATCTCCTGGGTGCAAGTGAGACTTGGGGTGCCCGGCCGGGCCCACGCCCCGGGTACCCACGGGTCAAGGGGCCACGGGGCCGGCTCCCGGGCGCGGGCGCGGCGGCCTTACCGTGCCGGTAGGGGTCGTAGAGCGCCATGCCCGCGGCGCCCGCGGCCAGCAGCGCCTTCTGCAGCGGGGACGTGGGGATGTGCTCGGGGTAGAGCGGGGCGGCGCCGAGGCTCGCGGCTCGGGAGGGCACCTCGCGGGCGAGAGCCAAGGCCGCGGCCCCAGGCGCCGGTCTCCGGGCGCCCCGAGCCGCCAGCCCGCCGGGCCCCCGGAGCGCGCGCCAGGGGCGCAGGGCGCGGGGCAGCAGGCTCGCCATGGGTGCGGGCACCCGGAGGTCGCGGCGAGTGGGCGGGGCGAGTGGGTGGGGCGGGGCCGGCGCCGGAGCGCCGGGAGGGTCAAAAAGCCTGCCTCCCGCCGAGAAACGCCTGGGCGCGGCGGCCAAAATTAGCGGACACGAAAGACGAAAAGGAAAATCCAAATGATCCGTCTTTCACCTCCTTCCACAGAGGTAAAACGATCTGCATGTCCCAGGAAAAAAATAAATAAATCGGTCTCCAAAGAAGACGAAACATAGTTTTCTTGGAGCGTTCAGCGCCGGACCCTTTCTTCTCTCACTGCGGGTTTCCCAGCCGGGACTCTAAAAGAGAGACTCACTTCCGGCGCCGGGCATGGCGGCGCCCTTGTTTTCGGATGCCGCGGGGGGGCGGGGCCGTACGGCACTTCCGCTCAGGTCCGTTTGTTGTCCCTTGCCCCTACGTCGTGGGCCTCAGGAATGGGGTCCGCCAGCCTGGCCAGGCTGCACGGGCTCTTCGCGGCCTACAAACCCCCCGGGTTGAAATGGGAGCACCTGCGGGATACCGTGGAGCTGCAGCTTCTGAAGGGTGAGCGCCTGGAACCTCTGAAAAGGTCCTGCCAAACGAGCCACGTGACTGGGTGGCCTGGGACGTGCACGTTCCGCTCTGTGCTCAGCAGCCTTTGCAACACGCTTTCCCGAAAAAAACTTCAGCTGTCCTGTTAGGTTCTTAGGTGATAGAGGCGGGATTTGAATCCAGGTCCCTTCTGCCTTCCGCCTTTGGTCCTTCCTTTCCTGCTTTTTCCCTGTGTCGGCGATGAAACCCAGGGCTCTTGCATGCAAGCCCTGCGCTTTCTTGCTGAGCCCGTCCCGCGCCTTGCCGGCGTGTGTTTCCTAGCTGCTGTCACTGTTTCCTTCGCGGCAGGCTTGCTTCTGGCTCCAGCCTTTGTAGACGCCCCCAGGTCTTCCCCCCCCCCCCCCCCTCGGCCTGGCGTTCTGCCAGAATGGACCAGACTCTTCTTTCCTTGTCTGTGCTCAGGTCTCAACGCAGGGGCCCCTCCGCCTGTCGCCCAACAGCGTGTGCGCTTCCTGCTGGGTCCCGTGGAGGGCAGCGAGAAGAAGGAGCTGACCCTCACAGCCACCAGTGTGCCCTCTCTAACCAACCACCCGCTGGGTAAGGCTCGTGTCAAGGTGGGGGGACAGATAGGAAATCCTGAGCAACACTAGGTGTGACCCCCCCCCCAGAACATGCGCCCTGGCACGGCAGTATAGGGGGTAGGGTATTTGTCTTGCATGCAGCTGAAAAGGGTTCTCTATGGTCCCCTGAGCACTGCCAGAAGTGATCCCTGAGCACCACAAGATGTGGCCCCAAAGCCACAACAGCAAAATAAGTTTCAGTAATTATAAATGATTTTAGAACACCGGGGCTAGAGCAATAGCACAGCGGTAGGGCGTTTGCCTTGTGGGTAGCCAGCCTGGCCAAGTCGGGTTCGATTCCTTCGACCCGCTCGGAGAGCCCGGCAAGCTACTGAGAGTATCTCGCCCGCACGGCAGAGCCTGGCAAGCTCCCTGTGACGTATTCAATACGCCAAACACAGTAACAACAAGTCTCAAAATGGAGACCTTAATAGGCCTGCTCGAGCAAATCGATGAACAACGGGAGGACAGTGTTTGTGTTTGTTTGTTTGTTTAAAACACTCACCTTTCTATTCACAAATATATCGAAAAGAAGGTCAAGCATTTTTTTCTTGGGGTCTGAGAGCTGAGGCCTTGCTGACTCAGGGTCCGTGTCTGGCATGCATCTGGTCCCCGGAGCCAGGATTTATCCCTGAGCATGATGTGATCCCAAAAATAATTCCCCCTAAAAAAGATCTCAGGTGGAAAACACCAGGTTCTAATGTTTTTAACCACACATTGAGAAAAAAATAGGTAGGTGCAGTTCTACATATAAACACTAAGAGAATAAATGAGGGGCTAGAACATTCATTTTCTCAGACCATAATAGCCATGGCATGTAGGCTGCTTTTTTATTTATTTATTGCTTTTTGGGTCACACCCAGTGATGCACAGGGGTTACTCCTGGCTCTACACTTAGGAATTACCCCTGGCGGTGCTCAGGGGACCATATGGGATGCTGAGAATTGAACCTAGGTCAGCCGCATGCAAGGCAAACGCCCTCCCTGCTGTGCTATCGCCCCAGCCAAAGCTAATCTTTTAAAAGGAGGAAAATTAGGGTCTGGAGAGCTTGCACAAGGTTTAAGACGCTCACCTTGCATGTGGCCTGATCCCTGGAAGTGCCTAGCATCCCCTGAGCCCTGCCAGGAGTGATCCCTGAGCACAGAGCCAGGAGTAAACCCTGAGCGCTGTCAGATTGGCCTCTTCATCCAAAAAGCAATTTCCAGAGATGACACAGTGAACTATGTTAAAATTCAGGAACTGTGGAAGAAGGAGGATAGTTCCCCAAAAAGAAGGAAAGTTGTGCCCTAGAGCAAGGCACAGGCCGCAGGAGAGACAGCAGAGAAGAGATGATGCAGGAGTTGGGGTGTGGGTGACCCCAGTAGGGAGCTCCCCAAGCTGCTTTTAAAGCTGTTTTTTTGTTTGTTTGTTTTTGTTTTTGCCTCGCAGTGGTGCTTCTGAGGCCCAGGGACACTTCCTGTAGTTGTCATCCAATCTATGCAGGGTTCAGTGCATGCACCCAAGGATGCAGTTCCGCAAGGGTTATAGGGCCCCCTCAGCAGTGCTGGTAACCTCCAGGGCCACACCCATGGAACTCAGCTGGGATTCGAAACCAGGGTCTAGGGTGTACCAGAAAAGCACCTTAACCCCTGTCTCACTCTCCAGCCCGGGGTGCTGGCTTTAAAGCATTTCCCCCCAGAATTGCATCTGCGTGATCTGAGGGGCATTGCTAGGGGTGTCACAGACAAGGAATTTAGTCTTTTTTGTGTTTATTGGTTTGGTTTTGTTTGGGGGCCACACCCAAAAGGCTTATTCCTGGTTCTGTGCTTGGGGATCACTCCTGTTGGCCTCGGGGAACCATATCTGGTGCCAGGAATCGAACCCAGGTCAGACGCTGCAAGGCAAGCACCCTGCCCGATGCACGATTGCTTCCACTCCAGGACTTTTAGTCTTGGGGCTTTCTTTGTCCCCCTCATTCCTGACGGCCGTCTATCTTCAGCCAGGTTTTGAGCCGGTGGCAGGGAACCCCATTTTCACAGTAGATCTCGTCTCTTGGAACACTTCTGGGGGTGTCAGGACATCAGTAAGAGGTGGTGGGTGGGTGGTGGGAGCCCCTTGGCAGTACACGGGCCCCCCCGCCCCCGACTACCGCCATAGTCTGGGTGACCCATTCCATGGTGGGGATCCCCAAGAGTGTGCATTACCCCCAGCCCAGAGCCACCCCCTGGTGGGGTTTAGGGCAGAAACTGTCTCTCTCCACAGTCTGTGGACCAGCCTTCACCAGCCTGAAGATTGGCGTGGGGCACCGGCTGGACCCGCAGGCTTCGGGGGTGCTTGGTAGGTGTGGGACCACCTGGGGTTGCAGTGGGCGGGGGTCAATCGGGACCAGCAGGAGCCAACTGGACATCCACACAGTTAATGTCCCTGGCTCCTCTCCCTGCCCCTGGTCTGGTCAGTGGGAGGTGACTGGCTGGTGGAAGGGGGCGTCATCAGCCCCCACCTTAACCAGGGGGGTGTTTCATGTGTGCTGCGAAGCCTCTAGCACCCGTGTTCGCCTTCACAGCCTTTTTGGGGGTTTGGGGGGGTACTGTTGGTTTCCATTTGGGGCCACACCTGGTCGCACTGGGGGTGACTCCTAGCTCTGCAGGGGGATCTCCAAGCCGTGGGTGACTCCTAGCTCTGCAGGGGGATCTCCAAGCCGCGTCAAGGATGGTGTGTGGGCATCCCACATGCAAAGTCGCCCCCGACCCTTCACAGCTGACCCTTTGCACCCGGCCCTTTGCACCCGGCCTTGGCTCCTTACCTTTTGCTCTCAGCCCTTTGTGCTCACCCTTTGTGCTCGGCCCTTGTGTCCAGTCTTTGCCGCCCCTCCAGGCCTACTGCGTTGGCCTCCCGGATACGGGGCTTGAGGCTCTGGGGCACCGAGTCGTGTTTGGGAATACCCCCCTCTGCGCCCGCTTACATATGGGCTCACCCCATCCCACACATTCGGGAACCTGGGTGTCACCTGGGGTCCCGACGCCCTGGATCCTGAGCCATCCTGTCCCCAGCTCGGGCGGTGACCAGGTCCCCTCATCCATCAGTGGTGGCGCCTCTCCCTTGTCTTGCTCCCTGGAAGCCCCTTTCCGGCGTGATGGGTGTCGGCCAGGGCCGTGCTCCTTAACCGGGCCTTTCTTTGGTGTCCATGGGGGTTGTCTGGTTTGTTTGGGACCCACGGCAGGGCTCCCCCCAGCCTGGTGGCCCTGTGCCCTGTGCCCTGTCCCCCTGCCCCCCGCCTCCTGCTGTGCTGTGCTGCCGGCGCCTGGGAGCTGGCCCTGTGCCAGCCCGTTGCCCCTTTCCTCTGCAGGATACCCCAAGGGCCAAGTGCTGCCAGGGCCCCTGAGGGGCGGGCATCTGTGCAAGCGGCTGCAGGGGTGCCACGGAGGAGCCCCCCCTTCTCCACCGCTCGAACCCGTGTGACCTGAGTCTGTCCCTTCCAGTGCTCGGCGTGGGACGCGGATGCAGGCTCCTCACTGACCTGTACGATGCTCACGTCACCAGGGTAGGGCTGGGGGCTCCCTGCTTCTCCCCGGCCCCTTCCCCGGGAGCTCTGCCCGCATGGCCCCCTGGGGTCCACACCCTCTCCACACACAGCGCCCCCACATCACTCGGCCGGGGCAGGTTTTGTCCTTGTGGCGCCTCAGCCCTGCCCTCGGCCTTGAGTGGGCAGTGCGCTGCTGGCCTCAGGCTCTGCCCCAGCTGGGTTGTGACCTCTCCTCTCCCCAAACAGGGGGGTCCCAGTTCAGAGTCGGGTCCCCGGAAGCCCACGACTGTGGCCTTGAGCGCGTGTTCTGCAGCCAGACCACCCGTGTGACTCGGGCTGTGTCAGCTGTCCCTTTGCGGAGCACTGCCCCCACCCACCCCAACCAAAGAAAACACGAGAATATAGGGGCTCAAGCGATAGCACAGCGGCCAGGGCGTTTGCCTTGCATGCGGCCAACCCAGGTTCGATTCCCAGCATCCCATATCGTCCCCTGAGCACTGCCAGGAGTAATTCCTGAGGGCATGAGCCAGGAGTAACCCCTGAGCATCATCGGGTGTGACCCAAAAAGCAAAAAAGAAAAAAAGAGAGCATAAGAATCCCGACACAAGCAGTGGGCACTGCGGCTTGGGGAGCTGTGTCCTTCACTGGGGGTGCCAGGCCGAGCTCCCCGCGGGGGGACCCGCCGCCCCCGCTTCCAGCCCACCTCCCTCCTATGCCCCAACTTGGCCCTGCCCCTCCCCCCTCAGGACTACACTGTCCGCGGCGTCCTGGGCAAGGCCACCGACGACTTCAGTGAGGACGGGAGGCTACTGGAGCGGACGACGTACGGTGAGCACGGGCCGGGGCCTGGGCTCCTCCCCAAGGGGGCCGCAGGGCTCCAGCTCGGGCTAGCCAGGGGTCCATTGGATCCCCCTTCTGCCTCTCCGGCATGATCTGTATCTTTGCTGCCCCCAAGGCAGCTCCTCCGGCCTCACCCATGACCTGGGTGGGCGCTCAGTAGTGACCAGCTAAAGACTTCGTGGTGCATCGCTGCCAGCTCCCCGCATAGCAGAAACGGCCTGAACTTGGCCCCGTGGGCACCCAGAGCACAGGCGGGGAGGGTGAAGGGGGGCAGGAGTCTGGGGGATGGGGGATGGGGAAGGAGGAGTGAATGGGAGGCAGGCGGAGGGGGAATCAGATGAGGATGGATGATGGGAGGAGTGGGGCATGGGGAGGATGGAGAGCAGATGCACAGATGGATGGATGGACAGGCGGACTGGTGGAAGACGGAGGGATGAGGGGCTGGAGCGATAGCACAGCGGGGAGGGCGTTTGCCTTGCACGCGGCCGGCTTGGGTTTGATTCCCAGCATCCCATATGGTCCCCTGAGCACCGCCAGGAGTAACTCCTGAGTGCAGAGCCAGGAGTAACCCCTGTGCATTGCCGGGTGTGACTCAAAAGAAAAAAGATCCAGGGCTCAGCCGAGCGGCAGCACAGCAGGGAAAGCATTTGCCTGGCACTTGGCTGACCCAGTCTCCATCCCCGGCACCCCACAGGGTCCCCAGCCCTACCGGAGTGATCCCGGAGAGCAGAGCCAGGAGTAATGCCTGAGCATCACCAGATGTGGCCCCCCCCAAAAAAAAACAAAAAGACTTAGGGGGCTCTCAGGGAGGGCTAGGGCTGGTTGGGCGGAGCAGGGCTTGCCCCATCAGCGTGTCTCTGTGCTGACTAGCTCCCCCTCACTGTGACCTGCCCCCCACCTTTTCCAGACCACGTGACCAGAGAGAAGCTGGACCGAATCCTGGCCATGGTCCAAGGCTCCCACCAGAAAGCGCTGGTGATGTAAGTGGGTCTCCTGCGGGTGCCCACAGTGCTCCTGAGTCCTGGGCTGTCTGGGGGAGGAGATGATGCCTGAGGGGAAACACGGGGGGTGGGGTGTTGTGCACACCGGGCAGAGCCCAGGGGGGCCGGAGGCCCAAGGAGAAGGCTGGCAGGGAGGCTGTGGGTGCTGGAGGCCCTAGGAGCTTCCGGCTGGACTTCAGCGCCTCCCCGCCCCCCCTCCCCACCCCCAGGTACTCCAACCTGGACCTGCAGACGCAGGAGGCCTACGAGATGGCCGTGCGGGGCCTCATCCGGCCCCTGTCCCCATCCCCGATGCTGGTGACTGGCATCCGCTGCCTCCACTTCGCGCCCCCCGAGTTCCTCTTAGGTACGTGGCCCCGGGGCCTGGAGCAGTAGGGCGGGACCCCGGGTTTGGGGAGTCTTGGGTGGCGCAGCCCTGGCCGACACTGGCCTGGGTCAGCCCCACCGCCATGGCCAGCACCCCAGGCCCCTCCCGAGCACCAGAGCTTAGCAGACATCCTGCCCGGCCTCCCGCTGCCCAGTGCTCCACGCCTCGGGCCCTGACCCTACTCCTGTGCCTGCCGCCAGTGCTTGTTCAACCCCCAGCCCTAGGTCCAGTCCCCAAGCACAGCCAGGTGTGGCCACAATCTCCACTCTGGGAGAAAAAAAAAAAACAGGGATGGGAGAGATAATACAATGGGCCCCGGATCCGGGATTCAGCCCTGAGCATACCTAGTGTCGCCCAGGTGTCTCCTGCCCTCACAGCAAACAGGAAACCAGCCACAGGCTTCCCGGTGCAGCTACGTGGCACTGACTTCCGGCTGTGTCTTTTCTTTTCTTTTCTTTTCTTTTTTTTCCTGCATTTTGGGTCATACCCGGAGATGCTCAGGGCTTACTCCTGGCTCTGCACTCAGGAATCACTCCTGGCGGTGCTCGGGGGACCACAGGGGATGCTGGGAATCGAACCCGGGTCGGCTGCGTGCAAGGCCAATGCCCTCCCCGCTCTGCTTTCGCTCCAGCCCCTCTGTGTCTTTTCTGCTCCCCCCTTTTTGCTTCCTTCCCTGTCTTCCCCGTCGTGGGCGGCGCCTCCCCTTTTGCACTGAGCCCGGCTCTCCTGCAGGATGGGGTGGGGGGGGGCTCTGTGTCCCAGCCTCCGGGCCCCTGACGGCGTGTCCCCGCAGAGGTGCAGTGCATGCATGAGACGCAGAAGGAGCTGCGACGCCTGGTGCACGAGGTGGGCCTGGAGCTGAAGAGCAGCGCCGTGTGCTCGCAGGTACGGCGCACGCGCGACGGCTGCTTCACACTGGCCCAGGCCCTCCCGCGCGGCCGATGGGACCTGCACAGCGTCCAGAAGGCCATCGAGGATGCTGCTCCCCGGGTGGCCACACAGCTTGAGAGCCTGAGGCCCGAGTTGGGCACCCAGCAGCCTCCCCCTGGTCTGGACGGGCCCAGGACCCCACAGGGCACCGAGACGAGAAGGTTCCAGAGCCAGAACTGTGCCGAAAGTGAGAAGAGGCGGCGACGCTCTCCTGCCCGGGACAGGAAGCTCTGAAGGCTGGATCGCAGGTTTCACACGCAAGTCGAAAAAATGCTCCAGGACCCCAGTGATAGCACCACGTGGAGGGCGTTGGCCTTGCACACGGCTGACCCGGGTTCAATCCCTGGCATCCCAGGGTCCTCTGAGCCTGCCAAGAGTGATTCCCTGAGCACGGAGCCAGGAGTCCATCCTGAGCACTGCTGGGTGTGACCCCAAAATCCAAACCAAACTCTGCGACTCGGGCCAGGGAGGTTGGCTCCGTGATGGACTGAGCGTGTGCCTTGCACAGCCTCTGGGTTCGACTCCTCGCACTGCAAATTTGACATCAGTCTCCACAGCCGTGAAGATGGACAGAGGCACAGGCCCAAGAGGAAACTTCCTGGGCCGCCGAGAGCTGAGGGCTGTCGGGGGCCTAGGACTGCCTGCACATGGCCGGGAAAAGATGGCCAAGAAGCAGAAACAGCTCAGAATCACACGTTTATGGAGCAGAGGAAACCAGGTGTCCAGCAGCCAGGCTGGCCGCTAATGACACAATGGGGTGGCTCCCCCGGGGCCCCTGGGGGTGGTGATAAAATGATAACACCAGTGTTAGCAAACCAGGTATCTGCGGTGTTGAAAAGTATAAAGGTGACTACTACTTTTTATTGGTTTGTTTTGGTTTGTTTTTTGAGACCACACCTGGCAGAGCTCTGCGCCGACACCTGGCTCTGTGCTCAGCAGTTGCCGGTGGTGAGCTTGGGGACCACATGGGTGCCAGGGATTGAGCCCGGGTTCTCTGCGGAAGGCAAGCCTTCTGCACACGGTACTATTTCTCCGCCCCAACCTCAACCCCGGCACTTTTTTTTTTTTTTATGTAGGAGTACTGCTGTTTATTCAGCCACTGATTAGCTGATTGCATTGGGCATGAACGCCACCTTACTTTTTTTTTTTTATAATTTTATTTATTGAGTCACCTTGAGAGCAGTTACAAAGCTTTTGGGTCTAAGTCTCAGTCATACAATGAAACACCCGTCCCTTCACCAGTGCCCGTTCTCCACCCCCAACAACCCCAGTATATCCCCATCCCACACCCTCCCCCTACCTGTGGGGCAGATGATTTCCACATTACTCTCTCTCTACTTTGATCACATTCAATATTTCGACACCAGACCCACCATTATTATTTGAGATTTTACCCCAACACTCAGATCTGCTGAAAAGGCAACTGTAGACAATTTGTGTTCTATTGCTGGTTATGAATAACATATGATGTTGTGTGGCTGCAGTAGGGCCATGTGGTTTTGAAATTCTGAAATTTTAACACTTAAATCTGGAAGGATTTCTGCCAAAAGCCACTGGGTTTCGAGATTTGCTCCTGAGTCTCTGGGATCATGGCCATTGAGCACCTTGAACAGGAGCCAGAGAGGCCATTTGTGGGCGATGACTTGGGGTCTTGTTGGGGTGGGGAGGACAGGCCTGGCTCCACCCCCATCCTGTGAGGCCCAACAAGTTTCGTTACTGTGGACCCAAGCCTGACTGTCCAATGGCCTCTGGAAGATGATGGCCACCGAGCCGCCAAGGAGGAGCAGGTGGAGGGACAACACCCTTCCCCCCTGGGGTGGCCCGGCAACAGTAACGTACTGCGTGGTTCGGATGCATTTCTGCCAAAAGCCACTGGGTTTTGAGATTTGTTTCTGAGTCTCTTGGATCAAGGCCGTTAAGCAGCTTGATCAGGAACCAGAGAGGCCGTTCCTGGGCGATGACTTGGGGTCTCGTTGGGGTGGGGAGGACAGGCCTGGCTCCATCCCCATCCCACGAGGCCCAACAAGTTTCGTCACTGCAGGCCCAAGCCTGACTGTCCAATGGCCTCTGGAGGATGATGGCCACAGAGCCATCAAGAGGGCGCAGGCGGAGTGACAACACCCTTTCCTCCCTGGGGTGGCCCGGCGACAGTAACGTACTGTGGGGTCCGGACGCACTTCTGCCAAAAGCCACTGGGTTTCGAGGTTTGTTTCTGAGTCTCTGGGATCATGGCCATTAAGCAGCTTGATCAGGAGCCAGAGAGGCCATTCGTGGGCGATGACTTGGGGTCTCATTGGGGTGGGGAGGACAGGCCCGGCTTCCCCCCATCCCACAAGGCCCTGCGTGTCTTGTCACTGGGGGCCCAAACCTGACTGTCCAGTGGCCTCTGAAGGATGGCGGCCACTGGGCCGCCAGGGGGAACAGGCAAGGCATGAAACCTATTCCCACCTGGAATGTCCCCGCACTGTTAACCTACTACAGGAACTGATCGCATTTCTGCCAAAAGCCGCTGGGTTTCGAGATTTGTTTCTGAGTCTCTGGGATCATGGCCATTAAGCAGTTCAATCAGGAACCAGAGAGGCCATGCCTCCAGTTATATAGCTGAGCTGGAGGTGGTTTGTGGGTGTGTTTCCCACATACCTAACTTTTGGCCGTTTACTTTCTTGGTAAACTTTGCCCCAAGTTTTTGGAGTCTGGCCAAAGGCACAGCAGCAATTTTGGGGTATCTGGAAGTCCAAAGGCGCCATCAGGCTGCTGATGCACTCGCCTCACAGGTACAGATTGACCTGCTGGCGGCACCATACCCCCAACTTTTTTTTTTTAATGTAGGAGTACTGCTATTTATTCAGCCACTGATTAGCTGATTGAATTGGGCATGAATTCCACCTTACTTTTTTTTTTCATTTTTTATAATTTTATTTATTGAATCACCGTGAGAGCAGTTACAAAGCTTTTGGGTTTAAATCTCGAAAGTACACCCCCGTGGCACTTTTTAGGAGTAACTTGATCATCATTTTCACAATTCTTCAGACCCTGCCCTGTGAACTGGCAGTTTGCTTTCTGGGGCTCTTCCAGCTCCAACGGCAGAATGTTCTAGATGCATGACTGTTCGTAACCGCCCCATAATGGTAGCACATTGGAATTGTGCCTCCGTCCACTCAGGAACCGGTCAGTTAAGTGCTGCAGACCTGGTGGCTCTGTTCGAACACCCCAAAGATGATGGGAGCAGGGCTGGGGCAGGCCCCCCGGAGAGCACGAGTCTCTGGCAGCCCCTCAGCCCTGTGCCCGAGTGATTGAAGAGCTCAGCGGTGGTGACGCTTTTCAGCCATTCTGTGGAGTTTTGTTCTCCGCTCTGGAAGCTGGCGCCCTGTAGACCATTTGCCGGGGGTGAGGCAGGGTCACACTGGGCGATGCTCAGGTGTTATTCCTGGCAGCGTTCTGGAGACCATACAGGATGCTGGGGATCAAACCCGGGTGTGTCCTCCCCGCCGGACCTTCAGTGTCTGCACCCAGCGATGCTCAGGGGTTACTCCTGGCTCATGCACTCAGGTATCACTCCTGGTGGTGCTCGGGGGAACCATATGGGATGCTGGGGATTGAACCCGGGTCAGCCGCGTGCAAGGCAAACGCCCTCCTTGCTGTGCTATCACTCCAGCCCCTGCCCTGTAGACACTTTATTATTATTATTATTATTATTATTATTATTATTGTTATTGAATCGCCGTGAGTTACGAAGCTTCCGTGGTTGAGTTTCAGTCCTACAATGATCAGATACCCCTCCCTCCACCAGTGCCCATTTCCCACCGCCAATGTCCCCAGAGTCCCTCCCACCCCCCACCCCCCAGCCCTGGAGACACTTGTCCTTGTTTCTGTCCTTTTCCTTTTGGTAGTGTTGGGGTGGAAGCCAGGGCCCCCTCCCCCAACCCTGTGACTGCTCTCCTCTAGTGGCAGGCTGCACCTGGCTATGCTCAGAGACGGGTCCTAGCATTGCTCAGGGGACCCTGTGGGTGCCGGGGTTTGAGGAGTGAGCCTGGGTCAACTGCATGCAGGGAAACACCTCACCCTACAGGGATATTTTTTAAATTTTTTTAAAATTTTTATTAGCGAAACACTATAAGATACAGTTGTAGACTTACAAATTTTTGTGCTCGGGTTTCAGTTATACAATGATCGAGTACCCATCCCTTCACCAGTGCCCATTCTCCACCACCACTGATCCCAGTATCCCTCCCACCCTCCATCCCCCCCATCCCACCCTTCCTCTGTGGCAGGGCAACTCCCTTTTGTTCTCTCCCTCCTTTTGGGTGCTATGGTTTGCAAGAGAGGCATTGAGTGGCAGTCATGTTCGGTCTATAGTCTACTTTCAGCATGCGTCTCCCATCCTGGAAGGCTCTTCCCAACACCCTTTACTTGGTGCTCCCTTCTCTATATCTGAGCTGCCTTTGTAGAGACTTTATTTAGCTAGGATGTCTTAATCTTTGTGTTATTTTTTTTTGGGGGGGCGTTGTCGGGTTGCCCATACCTAGTGGTGCCATACCTGGAGCACCACCAGCAGTACCACGGACACAGCTGGGGCCAGCCTTGTGCAAAGACGAGTGCTACATAACCACCGTATTCCCTCTGGCCCCGGGCAGAATGCTTTAGCGCCTCTGTGTCCGTTTGGTTTCTGGGCCTACCTCGTGGTGCTCGGGGCTTAACTCCTGGCTCTGTGCTCAGGTTCACTCATGGCAGTGCAGTGGCAGAACCACACAAAGCAAACGCCTTCTCCCCTGCACCCACTCTCTGGCCCCGCCGGCAGTTTCTCTAAGCCTCTGTCCACATGTGGCTTTCCCAGGAGCGCTCGCCCAGAACGCAGGCCGAAAGGAGAGGCGTGGGCTGCACTGGACCCCCCGCTTGGACCCTGCAGGACGGCTCTGCTTGGCTCCCGTCCCCGCTGGTGCCCTGGGAGAGGACCCTCTCCCCTCCTGGCCACTCACTGCCCCCCTCTCCCGCCTTCATGGTCCTGCAGTCTCCTGCGGGCCGCGAGCCCTGGAAAGCTTGGCTCTCGCCAGGAGCACTGGACAGCCATGGCCCAAGCTGGTGCCAGGACAGATGGCAGCTCAGAGCCTGGCGCGCCATCCCTGATCCCTGTGTCTCTCCTTTGGTGGCTCCAAGACGGGCTGTGGCATGAGTGTGAAGCACTGGTTCTGTCCCCAGCTCTGCCCAAATGCAGCAGAGCAGGCCCGCGATGCCCGCCCGCTTGCCATAGCCAGGCTGGTCGCAGGGAGAGTGCTGGTGGTGCCTCTCTGTCGGCACACCTCAGCGGGTGTCAGCAAGGCAGGAAAGCCTGCACGGGGAAGGCGGGGAGGGGACCCGGTGTGATGAGCTCAGATTGACACCTCTGGCATCTCTCCCGCCCGCCTGGAGTCCCGTGGGGCTCCCTTCCAAAATTCCGGATCCCAGGGCCTCTGAGCCACCAAAGGCGTCCGAGGCTGGCATCTAAGCCCGTGCCAGCCCACGCGGGTCTGCACAGCAGCCGGCCCTGCTCCAAGGGGGTGCGGAATTCACTCTGGGCTCGAAGGATCAGTGGCTAATCGGTTCGTTCCAGGTAACCTGTATCGGCCTGGCTTCCCCGGGGGGAATAAGGGAGCAGTGTGAATGGGAGTTCCCGGCGCCTTGGGGAAGGTGCCTCCTTCCGGTACCTTCCACCTGGGGACTTCTGTTGTGTTTGTTGGGGGTCACAGGGTTTCCTTCTGGCTCTGCGCTCAGGGATCACCCCTCGCGGCGCTGGGGATGGAACCTGGATTCGGCACACGAACCCCGTGCTTAGCTTGCAGTGCTCTCTCCAGCCTCTGGAGCACAGACTTTG